ATATACATATATATGTATATATACATATATATGTATATATATACATATATGTATATATATACATATATGTATATATATATATATATATATATATATATGTATATATATATATATATATATATATACATATATATATATATATATATATATGTATATATATATACATATATATATACATATATGTACAACAGACTGATCAGAACTTTATCAATAAATATGACATGATGAACAGAAACTGACATAAAAAGGGAAAAACATCAGACTTATTATTTATTACTGTTTTAATGATCAGAGCTGAAGTTGTTTCAGAGATTAGAGAGAAAAAAAGTTTCAAATGATGATTTTATAAACACTTCTCTACTTGACTGTTATGGGTGGAGCTAAAAGGTTAAAGTGATTGTGAAGAATCTCAGTCATGTGACATTTACAGGTGAGGGTGACACCTGTGGGTGATCAGGAGACCCTTTAGGATGAAGACTTCTGGGTTTGTGGTTCTACAGTTTCAGACTGAGTGTCGGTCTGGATGGAGTCTGATGGTTCTGATAAACCCACTTCTTCTTCTTCTTCTTCTTCTTCTTCTTCTTCTTCTTCTGTTAAAGTTTTTATACCCAGAAACTCTGAGCAGAATCTCCGTTTTGTTTTTGAAAAAATCAGCGGATCAGACTCGGGTCGGCGTTCTTTTCGGCCATTTCTCTGGCGGACTCGTTGTGTTTCTCTTCGATCTCTTTTGAAACTTCGGCCATTTTTCGGTTTCTTTCTTCTTCTAGCTCCTCCGTGATTTTGTTTTCCTCTCTATCGTTTCTTTTCTTGTCATTTATTTTCTCCTCCTGGTCGTTTCTCTCGTCTTTTTCTTCCTGATCTCTTGCTCCTCTGTCTCTCTTTCTTTCCTTGTTCATTTCTTTCTCTCTGTTTTTCCACTCGCTCTCTTTCTCTTCTTTCTCTTTTTTTAATTCTCCCTCTTTTTTCTCCCACTTCTTCTTCTTATCTTTTTTTTCTTTTTCTAAATCCCTCTCTTCTGTCTTCCACTGAATCTGTTTTTCTTCTTTCTCTCTTTTTAATTTCTCCTCTTTTTTCCTCCACTCCATCTCTTTATCAAGTTTCTGTTTTTTTAATTTCTCCTCTTTTTTCTTCCATTTCATCTGTTTATCTTTTTTTTCTTTTTCTAAATCCCCCTCTTCTGTCTTCCACTCCAACTCTTTTTCTTCTTTCTCTTTCTTTAACTTCTCCTCTCTTCTCTTCCACTCTATCTCTTTCTTGTTTTTGTTACCGACTATTCTCTCTTTTCTTCTCTCCCACTCGTTTTTCTTTTCATTTTTCTCTTTCTCAAACTCTTTTCTTGTCTTTGACAGCTCCTCTGGCTCCTGTTTGTTGTCTCCTCTCTTTGTTTCCTTTATCGTTTCTTCATCCCTCAATTCTTCTCTCTGTCCGTCCTCCTCGTCCTTCTTGAGCTTTAGATAATATTCTTGCAGTTTTTCTGCATATTCAGCATCAAGTTTCTTCTCCAGCTCCTCTTTCTCTTTGCGTATTTCTTCCTCTCTTTCTTTCAGGATCTTCTGCTGTTTTTCTTGAAGAGCTTCTTCTGCCTTTTGGAACATCTCGTTGGTGTAGTGGCTGTCTCCGTTCTTCTTGACCATCTCTTGGATCTTCTGGAGGAGCTCACTGACCTGAGAGTGATCCGTCAGATTATTGTTGAAGACGTGGTACCGGCCTTGACACCTCTCCACAAGCTTCACGAGGTCTGGACTTCCCTTGAGGAACTCTTCTATGGTGGTGTCTCAGATTATCACCATGGGTGAAGAGAACCAAACTGTATTTGTCTGCAGCCTGACCAAACATCTCCTGGATCTTCTCCACACTCTGTTGTTCCTCCTCTGTGAATCTGCCCCCCAATCCGACCACAATCAGAAAAGCATGTGGTCCAGGAGAACTGTAGGAGATACACTGGCTGATGTCTCGACTGGTTTTTTCGTCATCATATCTGGTGTCAAACAGACCAGGGGTGTCGATCACAGAGACCTTTCTTCCGGCCACTGTAGCCTTGCCTTTGGAGCACTCTTCAGTCTGAGATGAAGCGCTGAGCTTGGACTCGAAGCATTTACGGTCCAGAATGGTGTTTCCTGTCGCACTCTTCCCAAGTCCCGTCTTCCCCACCATCACGATCCTCAGCTCCTCGTTGTTCTGATGGAGACCACCTGTTTGGAAGATTGAACACGTTTCATCATCATCATCATCATTTCAGGTTTCCAGGTAAATAATATCAGTGATTTAGTCGTTTATTATGACCTTCATGAATCTTCATGTCTGTTTCTCTTGATCATCTCGGTCAAACTCAGGTGAGATATTTGACATTTGTTCGTAGGTTGAGGGTATTTTCACGATTACCTGTATTAACGTCTTTCTTTGGTGTAGGAGTGGGGCCACATGTTGGAAGGGAACTTTTTCTAAAGCTACTTTACAAAGACCATCTTTCCATTTGAAGATACCTCACACGTCCAGGAATGACCTTCCTGCAGAGGTTCCTCTTCAAGACACTCCTGGATGTGACCCTGTGTACTCTGTCATCCAAAGACCATCTCTCCACTTCAGATTTCACGAGTGTGAGAGAACTCTCTAAAGGAGACAGTGTGGTCCACAGACACTTTGACTGAGGCCACACCTGAAGGATCAGGAGCTGCTGAGGTTAAACAACCAGACCCAAGATCGGACTAAATGGTCCTGCACGATGCAAAGATCTGTGGACAGTATGGCTTTAAGACCAACCCCCTAACTGACCAGTGGACCATAGGAGACAGAAACTCATCAAAACTGGACATGAGCAAAAACGATCATCTGTTTCTACTGATGTGATTCATGCTGAACCTGCTTCCCAATAAGACATCTGAGCAGGCGGCTAAAACGTGGACTAAGACCAGAAGGCCGTCACTCCTCGGACAGACGGCGTCATATTTAAGACCAAACATGACTGTTGGATTTTGTCTTAACTTTGATGAGGACTTTAATGTCAACAAAGAGCCAATCAAACTTCATCATGTTCTGTGTCTGCATGATGTGAGGACCTAAGTGGGGACAGTTTAGAGCTCAAGTCAGAGAGGCCGTCGGTGAGGATTGGCAGCCATGTTTCCGTCGGTCTGAGTCCCAGATCAGCTGAGAGTACTGAGGTAGTTTACAACCATGAAGGTGTGACTGAATGAATGAATGAATGAATGATGGATCTAATGTAAAGTGCTTTATAAAATTTGATGCATTATCATTATTATTATTATTATTATTAAGTGTAAATGCTGACACAGCATTTACACTCATTGTTATTCTCCTATTTCTTTATTATTATTATTATTATTTTTATTTTTATTATTATTCTTCCGTACCTTTTTTGGCCCTTTTCAACTCCTTACCACTTTGTGCTATTTTAACCATTCAAACTTTATACTAATGCACTCCTTCAGGACATTCATTCACTCATTCAGGACTAGGGGGAAAAGTTCAGATGGTTTCTCACAGCTCTGCGATATCAGCACTTGTCATGGGCTGTGTGCTTCAATCACACACGCACATGCACACGCACGGGCTCGGCTGCGCGCGCGCACACACTGTTTCCATGTGCGCATTACTGTCTCTCTGTCAGTAGAAAATACACCCCCAATATGAACTTTGTTGTTACAGTTCTTGTCTTTAACTCTTTTAACATACTAACTACTTCTTTTTCTTCTACTTCTGCTTTTCTATACTTTCTACATTTATACAGTTAATTTAACTTCAGCTGTGTCATACTTTCTACATTCAGATGTAGGGCAGTAACTGAAGCAGGGCAATAGATGGTGCTGTTCTGCATTCTCAAGTTACTATGGTTGGATGCTGCAGACTGCAAAAATCTGTTTTACTATTTGTACATTTAATAGGAACATTGTTACACATTATTTTAAGGCATTTGTTTTTCAAATTCAATTATCCTTATTATCAGTTCTGTTTATTCACATCAATCATATACATTTTTCACTTAGGCTATCAGACAATTTGTACATTAATCCAACTAATTTACCTTAAGCTATACTACAATTCTTCCATTTATACAATTTCTTCTTCTTCTACTCCACCTTTTTATCAGCTTTAACATTTATACCTTCCTCCTTTTTTTATTGGCAGTTTAGCATTGCTTTTTCAGCTCTCGGCACTCAGCATTTCCACGCATTTTCTGCAAGGAAATGCAATTTTTCTAGTTATTATTATTATTGGACACTTCCTGGGAACCAGGACATCGACAAACAGCTGACAATATTTACCAACATGGACACCCTTTATAGCCGCCGTACCACACAGAGCAACAGCTGATCTCCTTCAGAAACTACAGAGAGCAAGGCAGGAGTCTATCTCTTTTGGGACAAGGTCTTAACGGAGACAGGAGGCTTCCACACAGAGAGAGAGCCTCCAGGAAGTTCTGCTGAAGTTCTGCTGAAGTTCTGCCGTTTTATTAAAAACCACCAGAACCAGCCTCAGCCCTCCCATCTGAAGCAGAGGGACAGTCAACCAGATCAACCAAAGCTCAGTGTTACAGTCCACTGGACACTGTGTCTTCTTTCATATCTAAAAAACTGTCTAATAACTGAAGACGAATAAGTCAGCGAATGTCAGACACCATGAAACAGATCTCCTTTAGCGGTTATTACTGCCGCCTCTGAAGACGGAGAGACGTGTTGGACTTTGAGGCCTGTAGCGTGTTGGTGAAGGACTGGATATGCTCGTCAGAATCAGACCGTCATTAATCGAAATCAAACTCAAACGACTTTAAATCATCGAGATCATAACAGAGACTTTTATTCATTCACACAAACCGACAAATCAGTTATTTTAGGATTTATTACCTCGATCAAATCAATCGATTTATTGAACAGTTTCAGGACAGTTGTCGTTGACATGTTTATGTGAACACACACACGCACACACACACACGCACACACACACACACACACACGTTTGTAAACAGCGTTTTTAATTCATTTGGCCAAGAAAGAAAAAAACAAACATCACGCCCGTTAACTTTCTGACAGGAACCACCTTCAACCTTTAACTGAAGGATCTTTGAGAAACAGACAGAAAATCAACACTTTTTAATTTATATAAAGAATAATATAAAATAATATATAAATTAATAATAATATAAAACATACAAACAGCCCTGACATCCTGACAGTAAAGTTCGGACTTACCAAAGTTGTGCTGTTTGTTGGCCATGTTGAGGTTCGAGAGTCGCTGCTGCAGCGTCAAAGTCTCTCTGCTGCTGCTGCGCCTCTTTTATATGGAGGCTTTCTGCATTTATGGCTCTGCAGTCAGGTCAGAGAGGGACACCAAACCTGGTCAATAAGCTGTGCTGTCTTTTTATCAATTAAACCTTTTTAATAAAACCACAGTAATAAAAATAAAGGTGAGAAATAAAAGCAAAAAATGACCAAATCAAGAAAACAGCAAAATAAACAAACAACTGAAGAGACACTGAAGAAAACCATCAAAGTAAACATGAAGACAAAAACAGAGAAAGAGACACCAAGGATCCCAAATAAAAAGAGACTGAGACTCAGAAAACCTCCTGTACTCATTATTATTATTAATATTGTTTTTATACTATTATTAATAATAATAATTATTATTATAATGATGATGATGGCTATTATTATTATTATTATTATTATTATTATTATTATTATTATTATTATTATTATTATTATCATTAAGAATATTATCATTATAATAACTATATAAACAGAGATAATAACAATAATAATAATAATTATTATTATTATTATTATTATTTATTACTATATAACAACTATATAAACAGAAATGAAAATAATAATGATAAATGAAAACAATAGTAATATTAATGATGATAACAATTATTAACTTAGTTTTAAAAACCTTTTTTGAAAAGTCTAAATTTGCTTCTCAAGGCCAGAAAAAAAATCATAAACTAGAACTTTAAAATGAATTAACCAGTTTGAAAGAGTTTTAAAGAATTAATCAGAAAACAACTGAAAAAAAACACTTCAAACTGAAATTTACACACACGACACACACATATATTTACAGCTGCCTGCACATGTACCTTATATAATTAGATTATATAAACTCAGATTTATCAGCACTGAATAATTTCCTCTCATATTCTAACTATAATATAATTTATAAATAAAATCATAATTTCCTCTCATATTCTAACTATAATATAATTTATAAATAAAATCATAATTTCCTCTCATATTCTAACTATAATATAATATATATATATATATATATATATATATATATATATATATATATATATATATATAATCATAATTTCCTCTCACCTGTTCACAAGCTTCTGGATGGAATTTGCTTGTAGTTGTTTGAAGTCTGTGATTATTCTGTTAATATTATATCTCTGGTTAAGTCATTTATGACCTTATTTAACAGCTGTAATAAAACCTGGTACATACAGAAACAAAAGAACATTTATGTCCTTGTATATTTGAAGGATTCCCGAAAGGTTCAGGGTGGGGTCAGGTTCACCGCTTCGTCAACAACCGTGTGAGCAAACAGTCCAACAGTGTGAGAATGACGTTAGAAATTTGATCATCTACAGTCCATAAAAGAATCAGAAATATCAGCCAGACCCTCAACCGCCACTGAATGACCATGACCTTTGACCCCTCAGGCATCCCTGCATTTAAAACCCACATCAATCTGTAAAGGATCAACCATGTGGGCTCAGGAGAACGTTCAGGAAACCTTCATCAGTTAATAAAGTTTGTCTCTAAACGTTCAAACTCCACCACGAAAAAAAAGAAAAACAGACAGAGTGTCATCAGTGTCAACATGAGAACTGAACTAATGAGAACTGAGATAATAAGACAGGGAGGAAGAACAGACGGTGAAAACAGAAGAGGTCTGAGGACGCTTCCCTGAGGAACACCAGAGTTCAACCATGAAGAACTTTGTTAAAATAAAAACTGAACCTGAACTGTCCGGGACGAAGAGGACTGTTCTCAGGTCAAAGGTCAAAGCCAGCATCTGTGATTGTCTGGGGGTGTGTCAGTGTCTCATCAGTGGTGGATCCATTAAAGGTTCAGACAGGTTCACAGATAGAAACATCTGCTGCCATCAGAACCACGTCTGATTTCAGAGAGTGACGACAGCGAAGCTTCGGAGTCCGGGAGTCCAAGAGTCCAAGAGTCCAAGAGTCCGGGTACGAGACTAAAACCTGAACCTCAGACCTGTCCCCCATTAAAACTGTGAGGAGTTAAAAAAAAACACAACAGAGACCCGGACTGAGGAGGATCTGAGGTGGTCCATCAGTCTAGACTGGGAAAGAGTTCAACTATGTGTGTGGGGGTATAGTGTGTTAGTGTGTTAGTGTGTGTGTGTGTGTGTGTCAGGCCTGATGTGCCGGCTAACCAATCAGGTGTTAGGATCCGCCCACTGACTTTGATAAGAGAGTTTGACAGATAAATTCCACACCGGTCCACTTGATAATTAATTAAATAGTGAAATAATTATAAATGTTTTTATGTTGAATGAACTGATATTTTTATGAATTTATTTATTTAATTCCCATTTGAATTAATTAATGACATTTAAGTTTTTATTTTAAGAAGTATATATATGTCTCATTCTGTCTCTCTCCATCCTCCGTACTTCTGGAACTTTCTGCCTGATTGATCAGATTAATGTCGAGTTTTTGTCAATAATTGATCAAAGTTTGGGTTCGTCTCTGACCTTCACTCTGCTGACCAAGCCAAGTTCTTATATCAGTATAGATTAATGTTCTTTTATCTGACGTGCAAAGAGTAGATATCATTAAAATAAAACACATCCAAGGAAACCGTAAAGAAGAACAAAGGAGAGCGTTTGACCTGCCCGTCAAACTTTTAGGCCACACCCCCTTTCTTAAACTTAAAAAGTTAAACACCGATGTGGTTCAGAAGACCGAGCTCTGACCATTTATTCACAAAAATATGATAATGAAAATAAAGGTAACAAACAGCTGGGTGGACAACACGAAATAAACAACAGGAAGTGATTGGTGCTTTTATTTTGAAATTTACTGAACACAAAAGTCACACTCACAGTTAGGTTCATGTTTATGAAGTCAAACTTTAATCAATTCAAATTTATAACAAACTCTCATCATGTTTTTGAGATTTGAATAAAAAGATTGTACATTTCTTTAAATCAAACATTGTTTCATAAAAATCCAAAAAAAATCAGTTTTTTTTCCTGATTAACGGTGAAAAATTTCAGGTTCTTCTGATTTGAACATTTTCAGACCTTCAGCAGTGATCTTTAACTCGTCACAGTTTTGGTTTCAGGAGAAAAGACTGAAAAGATCTAAGGCAGCAGAAACTTTTTTGCTTAAAAAACACGAGACTTCAAAATTTTTTAAACAATTTTAAAACATTTTTAAAACATGAATAAACTAAAATAATCGATTTAGAGAGGGAAATGTTCGTGGACACTAAGTTAATTACAAACAGGTTCGATAGTTAATTAGTTAGTAACTTAGTCAGTCAGTCAGTTGGTTATTTCTTCAGTTAGTTACTTGCTTTGTATCATAACTGATAAGCTTTTTAGTTAGTTTGTTTGTTATGAGCTTAAGCTTAGTTAGTTTAAGTTAGTTAGTTAGAAAGTTAGTAAGTTAGCCAGTCAATTGGTTGGTAAGTGAGTTTGTAAGTTTGTTCTTTAGTTAGTAACTCGCCCAGTAAGTTAGTCAGTCAGTTAGTTAGTTAGTTGGTTACTAGCTTAGTTGATCAGTTAGTCAGTTAGTTAGTTTGTTGGTTACTCGGATACTAGCCTAGTTAGTCAGTTAATCAGTCAGTTAGTTACTTAGTTTCCGTTAAAGTTTAAAATTCTTCCATTCTGCGATCAACCCTCAAAAAATGAATACAGCGCTTTAAAACCTTTGACCATCCCCTTCGGACGGTAAAATTTGAAGCGTAATTTTTTCTCGGCTTCTTTTCTCGTGATGTCTTTGTGTCCTTTTTCCAGTTGCTGTATTTTCCTCTCTAGCTCCGCACTTCGTTGTTCTTCGGATTGTTTTCTCACCATCTCAATTTCTCTCTCTTCGTCCATTTTCTGCTTCAGTTTCCGAATCTCCTCTTCCTTCTTCTTCCACTCCTCCTCTCTTTCCTTCAGTCCATCCTCAAATTTCTTCCACTCCTTTTCTTTCGCTGCCATTTTCTCTCGGACACTCTCTTCTTTGTCCCACATTGTCTTCTTCATTTCCATGTTCTTCTTTTCCATCTCCACTTTGTTCTTCTCCAGCATGGCCTCTGTTATTTTGGTCTGAAGCTCCTCTCGTTTCCTCTGCATCTCCATCTCCATCTTTTTGAATTCTCTGTCTCTCTTCATCTCAATCTCAGTCCGGTCCAAGTCCCACCTCTCATTCTCCCTCTTCAGCTCGTTTAACATCACGTGGAGCTCCTGTTGTTTCATCATGCTCTTTCTTCTCTCTCGCTCCATGGTAGCCTTGAGTTTCTTCAGATCATTTTCTAATTTTTCGTCGTATTCTTCTCGTAGTTTCTTCTCCAGCTCCTCTTTCTCTTTGCGTATTTCTTCCTCTCTTTCTTTCAGGTTCTTCTGCTGTTTTTTTTGAAGAGCTTCTTCTGCCTTTTGGAACATCTCGTTGGTGTAGTGGCTGTCTCCATTCTTCTTGACCATCTCTTGGATCTTCTGGAGGAGCTCACTGACCTGAGAGTGATCCGTCAGATTATTGTCGAAGACGTGGTACCGGCCTTGACACCTCTCCACAAGATTCACAAGGTCTGGACTTCCCTCTATGAACTCTTCTATGGTGGTGTCTCTCAGATTATCACCATGGGTGAAGAGAACCAAACTGTATTTGTCTGCAGCCTCACCAAACATCTCCTGGATCTTCTCCACACTCTGTTGTTCTTCCGGTGTGAATCTTCCCAGTCCAACCACAATCAGAAAAGCATGTGGTCCAGGAGAACTGTAGGAGATACACTGGCTGATGTCTCGACTGGTTTTTTCGTCATCATATCTGGTGTCAAACAGACCAGGGGTGTCGATCACAGAGACCTTTCTTCCAGCCACTGTAGCCTTGCCTTTGAAGCACTCGTCAGTCTGAGATGAAGCGCTGAGCATGGACTCGAAGCATTTACGGCCCAGAATGGTGTTTCCTGTCGCACTCTTCCCAAGTCCCGTCTTCCCCACCATCACGATCCTCAGCTCCTCGTTGTTCTGATGGAGACCACCTGTTTGGAAGATTGAACATGTTTCATGAGTTTGACGGTCGTGTCTGGAGTTTTTGTAAAATATTAAAGCAGAAGTTCAAAGTAAGACATTAACTTGCTGAGAAGAGGGTCTGGACTGCGATCATTCTGAACGTTTCACCCCCCGATTCCAGAATACCAACCTCATTACAGGGAGGGGCAGGTCCTACAAGATGGCTGCACTGGGAACTCCCCAGTCTAACCATAAACAACAAAGATGGTCGTGGTCCAAGATGATTTTATCCTGTAAGCTAACTCCTACTTTCCCAAACCAACCCTAACCATCACTGATGCTGAGCCGAACCCTCTACCTTACAAACCACTACCACCCCCCAAACTCACCTTAAAGGGATATTCTGCTGTAAAATTAATTCAGGGTCAAACCCACTGTAACCCCGAGTCAGACCCCCCCTCCAGAGATGAATGTTGTCGACCACTTACTTCTCTAGTTATACCAACTTTAGTAACGACCGCAGGATAGAAATACAGAGAGCCACGCCCCCAACCAAAACGCCACTCTATAACCACAAATAATGCTCAGAACAGCACCTAACTTCATCAACAGGACATATAGGGTCACAGACATAGAACTAGACACCAAACATCTTTGTAACTTTGACTCATTTCTTTAGCAAAGAGACTAAACACAACTCACCTACTCTCTTCCAGCAGACGCTTGTTTGTAGAGAGACCTCAGGCCAGTCCATTAGGGACTACAGCGGGGTGCCGCAGCTCAAGGAAGAACATTTATGATCATTTCTTCAAGGAAATACAATCAGACCGAGACGCTAAGACAGAAAAACTACAGCGTCTGTAAAATGATTAATATGATGATCATTACTTCAAGGAAACGATGAAGAAATGATCATAAATGTTCTTCCTTGAGCTGCGGCACCCTAAATTAATTTTAACAGCCCCCCGACAAATCTTAACAAACCCTCTAACTCACTTTAATGACCCCTTTTCTAACCCTCATAGAAGAATCAGCAGGTTCTTCTTCACTCCCCGGCCTCAGCAGAGTCGGTCTCTGGACTCTGGAGGACCCCCCCTCCCAGAAGAGTCTCAGTCTCTACTCTGATGTCGGAATAAGTCTGTCTGTCCACCTCTGCAGACAGTTCTTGTACCAACAGCTTATTTCTCCTGAGGGTTAATTTTATTGTTCCATCATCTGAAATTTTTATTTACGTACATTTATCGTTAATGTTTTGTTTTCATCATTAATAATCACCAATCTTCAGGTTTCAAGATGTTGTCTTGAGCCTTTAAGTCACACTTTTATCTTCCCTCTTGTTTAAATATCCTCCATTTCTTTTTAAAATCTCTCCTAAAATCACAGGAAAAGTGAAACCGGTTCTGAAGTCACAAGTTTGAAATATTCACGTTTACTTTAAAAGAGAAGCAAGAAAAAGTAAAAACATAGAAATGTAAAAAGATTATGAATCAGCAGTGAAGCAGGTTGGGAATCAGTCGTGAAAAATCAGAGTAAAGTTTGTATTTAAAGGGGAATCTAAGAACGACAACAGTTTCCTCAGCCAGTAAGAGACATCGTCACATGCTGTTGGAAAAATTAAAACATTAATTCACGATGTCGCTGATGGTGGAAACACGGTCTCTAACTTTGACCCTGAAGACTGAACTAAAGAGACATTCTTCATTCAGTGAAGGATCAGAAGTCATAGAGCGGACAGAAAAACACCTGAACGATGAACCGAGAGGGAAGATTTCAGGACTTACCCAAGTTTCTGCTGTCTGCCATGTTTGAGCGTCGATGAAGTCAAAGTCTGTGAGCGGCTGCACCTCTTTATACGGAGGCTTTCTGTATTAAACACGTGAATTTATGACTTTACAATCAGACCACAGATAAACACACAAATCTGCTCCAGATTTATCTGCTGCTGATTCACTCCGAAGTTTATTTTAGTACAACTTCAACTTTACGAAACTTTTCAGACAAAAAGACGAAGTTAAAAAAAAACAATTAACGACAATAGAACCCGAACCTCACAAACACACACACACACACACACACACACACACACACACACACACACACAGTTATAAGTTATATTGTTAAAGAGACATGTCCTGACACTGAGACGTTATGTGAGGAAAGGGTTTCCTTCTGGAAACTCTGGAGATAAAAAGATAAAAATGTTGAACTAAAGACTAAAACCTGATGGACTAAAACAAGAAAATAAAATGAACAGATAATTAAAAAAGTCTTTACCACATAAAAACAGGTAAAAGCAGTAAAACCCTCGAAGACGGGAGTTAAGAAAAAGACTAAGAACAGAGTTAATAATTAAAATGACATGAAATAAGAATTTTGATTAAAACAAACATTCAGAATAAGAGAAATATAAAAAGGTAATTAGTGAAAAGTCTGATTATAAAGGTGAGTCTTAAAAACATCGACAGTCTCTGTAGCTTCTTAATACTGACATGAATATCGTCAATATTATCGTCACTCAAGAAAACAGATTATCTCGCTCTGATCACAACTACAGCTCTCCTTAAATTCACAAAGATTTGTTTTCAGCGTTTGACCCCAACTTACAGGTGACATTTTCACTGACCTTTCACTGACCTCTGATTGACCTTTCACTGACCTTTGAAAAGCCTTGGACAGGGTTGACCGTCATCTTCTCCTCCATCATATCGGACTGAATCAGAGCGTCGTCCTTTGGTTTCGATCTTATCCCCACCGTAGACGTCGCCGTGTTTCTGTCAAAGGTTGTTAATCTGATCGGATGTTGGTTGGCTCAGGTGTTCCACAAGGTTCCACATTAGCTTCACTTCTTTATTATACTTTACTATATATCACTATATTATTAATGACCGACCTCGACTGTGCTCAACGACGTCGTTTTTTTACTCGTCCAATCCTGATAAATCCAACAGGATTATAATCCTGTCCGACACTGACTCACTAACGTCTTTAATATGAAAAAAAAAAAGTTTGATGGTGTTTGGTACAAAAATATGTCGTTTCACACTTATTTTAGTGATGGAATTTTAATGAAGAGGGTCAATATATTTATCTGGATCGGGTTTGCACAGCGGTCTTCTGTGGATCTGTTAGGACTTCATCAGACCAGCAGCCCAGAGGAGAACCGGTCTTTGTGTCTGCTGGTTCTGGTCTACAGGGATCTAGCTGAGGGGAGGACTTTGGACAGTCTGTGTCCTGGTCTGAGGGGTCTGCAGTGGCGTTACCTGATCCTGGACCAGTATAAGTCCTGAATGGAGGGCAGGTTGGTTCTGATGATTTTCTCTGTGGTCCCGATTGTCCGTTACAGTCCGGTTCTGTCCTGATTGGTGGTGGACCCAAAACCATCAGTGATGGATGTGCAGAGGACAGACTGGATGATGGGGGTGAAGAAGTGAATCAGCAGGTCCTGAAGGAGGTTGAAGGTCCTGAGCCGTCACAGGAAGTCCAATCTCTGTCTCCAACAAACACCAGAAACTGAAACTGAAGAGTTGAAGGTTTAACCTCGGAGTCCTGAGGAAATAAAACAACGGAGGGTCAACAGAGAGAAAGAGAGAGAGAAAGAGGACGGTCGATCAGAGAAATCTAACTTTTGTTTGATTCAGAGATATTGATTCTCTCTCTCGTTATTCTCCATTTTTTTCTCAGTTACTCGTTATTTTCCCGTCACCCCTTATTTTCAGGGAATGTTACTGACCTCCGACCTCCACCTTCATCCTGATCGTCTCCTAAAAGGTCGTATCCTCCGATCGTAGCTGATCGTAACCATTCAAGTTAACGTGTCAATTTACACCGACTTCTTTCCGTTCCTCTGCGGATCGCCGGACTATGTGTCTGTCTTTATAGAGACAACTTGTTATCGCGTGATTGAACGTGAATCTGTGGGTTCTTGTGAGTTCTCACGATTACAGCTGTCAGTAATCCGCCACGAAGTTCGCCTCACAAGCGGATCTGGTAGGAATTGGCGGATAGCAAAAATCACTGCCATCTCGGATCGGAGCCGTTCTGGATGTGATGAAAATTGGGGGTAAATGTTTCTTTTCTTTGCTCACAGCTGCTGTTTGGTCAAAATGGCGATCTTCGTCATACAGGGTTTTCTTTGTGGGGGCGGTGTCGGCGTACTGTGTCTGGTGAACGAGACGGGGAGGTAGAGCTTGTGGTCGTTTCTGCTGACAGCCTCAAACCCGCTCGTCAGGATCTGCCCTGAGTGGACTCTAAATTACACTCAGAGGTTAATTAACTCACATTTACACACAAGTCAAGGTTTAAAATCTGACGTTTGGTTTGAACTTTGTCTCTTCTAAAGACAAGAAGTGTGTTTATTACCAGCAGGACCCACGCTCAGATACTCAGTGTTATATAATTAATAATTGTTAATAATTAATTACTGTGTCTCCATTTCTTCTGCAGGCCGACAGATCGATGTCACAGTTCTGCTTAATGGAAAAACATGAACTCAAATCAAACTCTGAATCAGGTCCCAAGAGACCGTCAAGGCCCAGTAACACCTGAACCATCAGACCTGGACCTGAAAACCACCTCCTGTGGTCCACCAACTGTCTCTGAGAACCATGGAAGACAATGATTTATCAATATTATTATTATTACTATAATTATCATTATTATGATTATTCTCAGGACCTGAGCTGACACTGTAAATATCAGCGAGAGCCTTTTAAACACATGGGGAGCGTTGCGACACGTCTCAGGCCTGTCAGTGCTTCTTGTGCTAATTATCAATATGATTAGTATTATTACTAAACAATAATAATTATGTTAATATAATTGTTAGTCTGAACTCCTGGGTTCACTTGCCTGTGTTTTGTTAAGCGTGTTTTTCATTTTTTTGGAGTTTTGGATTTAATTTTAGTTTTTTTAAAGTTTTTATGTTGGTGATAAAGGTCGTCGCTTCATCTTATATAAGATATTATTGGAACTCTGGCCAAATAGCTCTAATAAAGGTGAGACATTAACACACACACACACACACACACTTTGACCTCTGTTCTTTATCTCCTTAAAGACCTGTCAGTTGATAAAGTTTATCTCGATATAAGACGACAGAGCTGATGATCAATCATGACGGACATTTTCATGACCTCCTGATTTCTCCATCTTGACTTTGATCAAACGTCCTCAGACCAAAAGGATCAAACTGAGGTGTCCTCGCCGCCGCTCTCTTCACACCTTAGTTAATAACAATATTAAAATAAAAATAACAATAATAAAAATAAATAAATAATAAAAATATTAAAATAGAAATAACAATAATTAAAATAAATAAAATTAATATTAAAATATTATATTATGAAATTAAATAATAATAATAATAATAATAATATAATAAAAAAAATAATAACAATAATAATAATAATGACAAATAATGATAATAATAATAAATAATAATGATAATAAATGTGGTTTATAACACACTTTTACAGGCGCTCAAAGACGCTCCATCACACACGGATTCCTATCACTCTTTACTTTTTCAGACCCACAAACTTTAACGGAGGCTTGGACCACAACGCTGGATTAGCGAGGTAACTTCTGGATAACTTCTGGGTTTTCTGCACTACCATGGTGGATCTCTTTTTATCCGGGTCCGTTGCCCTGGTAACTTACACGGACCGCCAAACTTGCTCCGGAGCAGGTTCTGTTTCAGGATAAGAACTCAGCAGGTATGAAAGACCGCCCACTGACCAATCAGATCGCTTGAAAAATGGCACTTGCCCGTGGACATTAGAGCACGGATAGTGAGAGAAGCGCTTCGCCAAGAGCGTTTGAGTTACCTGATGATGTTCTCTGTGAAAGTTGCAGGTTTCCCTCAAACGGGCTGCGATATATTCGCCAACGTTACCCACCGCAGTCGGAAAAACTGAAACAGAATTTAAATTCGCCGACTTTATTCCTCCACTTTTTCTACAAAACCCAGAAACACGTTCATGTTCGCCGAGGGAGGCACAGAAAAAAAAACTAATAAAAAAACAAAAGAAAAAAACACAATGAACAGAAAGAAGTTCATGAGGGTGAGAGGGGGATGATGGACAGAGAGAGAGAGACAGAGAGGGAGAAAGAGAGAGAGAGAGATAAAAGAGAGAGAGAGAGTGAGGTAAAGAGAGAGATGAACAGAGTGAAGACGCCAAAGTCAGTCAGAGGAGTCAGTCTGATCGTTGGTTTCCATGGTTACAGGTATAAATTCCTTTATTTCGATGAACAAACTAATAATATACAGAGCAGCGAGGTCACATGACTCTACAGGTCACATGATCACAGGTGAAGTTTAACGAGGACAGGTGAGAAAAACAACAACAACAACCGTGAGTGATGAAGATGATGAAAGGAGGTTCTCAGGACTCAGAGGGGTGATGAAGATGAAGATGAAGATGATGAAGGTGAAGATGATGAAGGTGAAGGTGATGAAGGTCTCAGTGGGTGTGGGCTGCAGAGGAGCAGATGAAGGTGTGTTGAGTTTCAGGAGAGCAGTCTGTGGAAATCCAGTTTCTGGGGTTTTGGACCAGAACACATTCAGATCCCGGGTCAGACTCAGCGCGGCTCAGCAGGACCTGGTTCAGTCCGGAGAAGGACTCTGATCCTGGACCTCCAGTCAGACCTGAGAGACAGAGACCTTCAGAGCTTCAGGTTCAACACTGAAGAACAAGAACAGTCATCAGAGCAGAGGTCCAGATCTTTGGACCAGGATCAGGACCGATACAGAGATCCAGAACAAACCCAAAGTTCTGAACAGAGAACTAAGACCCTCTCAGGAGGTTCTCCAGCTCCTCAGGACTTCCTTTAATGTAGGGCTGGACGATAAAACGATAACGAAAGAATATTGAAAATTAATTTCCCTCAATACTGATATGAAACATGATCAATATCCTTTTCAATAGTCGTCATTCTGACATGTTTTGGTCGACTGAACAAACAGCCAATGAAAAGGGGAGTGTCTCCGGGTCTGAACCAATCATGTTCTGAATTAGAACCAAGTATCAACCAACTGCAGCGTCGTAGCAGACAGCAGCTCCACCCAACCATAGCACTTTAACAGGTGAAGCCGACAGCACTGTTGGTGAGAAACAAAGAAAATGAGTGCTACCCCCGACAGAAATGACCATGAAGGCTCAACAGATGACCACATCAATGTCAACCACAACACTGGCGTTAGGAAAACGTCGGTGGTGTGGAGGTATTTTGGTTTTTGGAGGTCGGACATGAAGCAGAGTAATGTGGACTGTAAATTATGTCGAGTACATGTTCTCACAAAGTCGGGGAATACCTCAAATCTTTTTCACCACCTGAAGCAGCGCCACGCCGCAGAGCACGCGCAACGCAAAAGGTTACAAACCCCGAGAGGAGCGAGGAGCCCATGGCGCCTGATACAGACGACCATTCAGTCGTCTTTCTCTAGAGCGACGCCTTACGACAAAACGCCAAAGAGACACAAAGACCTCACAGATGCAGGAGATTATTGTGTTGGAAAAGACATGAGACCAATAAACACTGTTAGATTTTTAGATCCTGATATTGATCGATATCAGCTGATAGGAAATCAATAATATATCCTGATAAACTTTTTACTTTAATGATATTTTTTAACCACGTCTGTATTTCAGATCCTGCAGCAGGTCCAGTTCTGGTTCTGGTTCTGTGTCGGTCACTCACCGACCCAGAAGGGTTTCCTCCCCACGAACTTCCACAGCCAGCTCAGGTCTCTCCTGGAGCGCACGGCCGTCAGACTGCTGTTAAACCTGAACCAGACACAAGGGGGCGCTCAGACACACTGACTCAGGTCGTGGTTTCTCTGATCCTGGATCAGTTTTTAACGTTAAAGATGGCGTCGGTCTCTTACAGCAGTGAACACGTCCTCTCGGCGCTCCCCCAGCTCGCCACAGACGAGCCAATCACGTAACAGCGCCTCCTGTAGTGAGTCCAACCGCCAGGACACGAGCTGGTGACCGACTTCACTGTCTGAGGAAACACACACAAACACACACATACAGACACACACATACAGACACACACACACAGACAAACACACACACACACACACAAACACACACACACACACACAAACAAACAAACACACACATACAGACACACACACACACACACACAGACAAACACACACACACACACAAACAAACAAACACACACATACAGACACACACACACACACACACACACACACAGACAAACACACACACACACACACACACACACACACACACACACACACACACACACACACACACACACACACACACACACACACACACACACACAAACACACACACACACACACACACACACACACACACACACACACACACACACACACACACACACACACACACACACACACACACACACACACACACACACACACACAAACACACACACAGACACACATGTGAAGATAAACTCAGAGTCTCTAAAACTCAGTTTTTTTTTTCATTTTTTTTTCAGTTTTTTTTTCAGTTTTTTTTCAGTTTTTTCTCTTTTTATTTTAATTAAAACTTCATGTTTTTTGTTTTTTTTTTCCAAAATCTTTTTCTTTTTTAATTTAATTATTTAATTATTTAATTATTTTAATTGTTTCCAAACACAAAATCTTATATTCATAAATCCTGTAATCATCTTCTGTTTTATTCTGATTTACGGTCCTCTCACACCGGGACCGTTTTTTTTTTTCTACAATTATTTCGAACGTCAATATTTTTGTGGAGAGTCATAGTGTCGGATTTCTCCGATGACGATGGTTTGTGAACTTTAACAGTTTGATAAACGTCTTTGTTTGAACTTTCATCTGTGCTAACGTCACTTTAGCTCTAAGCTAACCTGTTCAGATACAACAGACCATCTGTATTTTCACTGTAAACTCAGTCTCAGCTCCATCAGGTCTCTGTTGTTCGTTTATGGATTATAGTTTCATGTGTTTATCTGGTTCTGACCCGACTCAGTCCATCATGACAGACAGACATCAGAACTGAGAAACACTCAGTCTGCTGTTGGATCAGTCTAACACCTGAAGACCAAGAGGAACTAAAGAGACCATCATGGTGTCAGTGTGTGTTTGAGTGTGTGTGTGTGTGTGTGTGTGTGTTTACCTTGCGTTGGCGCAGCTCTGGATGTTGTCCTGGTTCCGGTCCTGGTTCTGGTCCTGGTTCTGGATGATCCATTTGAAGAGGGTCTCTGAAGGAGAACTCCTGCAGACTATGAGACCACTGAGGATCACTGGGACCCGGGTCCTCCAGACGAAGACGGGTCAGACTGTGGAACTAAAGGGGGGGCCGGGTTAGTCCTCAGTCATGACCTTTGACCCTGAATGACTGTCTGTGTGTGTGTCTGTTTGTATATCAGTGTGAGGACCTCACCGTCCTCCCCCTCGTCTCCTCAGACCTCCTCCTCGTCTCCTCAGACCTCCCCCTCGTCTCCTCAGACCTCCCCCTCGTCTCCTCGGACCTCCCCCTCGTCTCCTCAGACCTCCCCCTCGTCTCCTCAGACCTCCCCCTCGTCTCCTCAGACCTCCTCCTTGTCTCCTCAGACCTCCCCCTCGTCTCCTCAGACCTCCCCCTCGTCTCTTCAGACCTCCTCCCTCCTGACAGTCGGACCTGAACATCAGAACCCGATTTTATTGATTTTATTAACAGAGTTTTTCTTCATGTTTGAAATAAAATCATTAAAACTCGATCGGCTCTTTGATCGTCGTTTTATTGATCGTGACATTTTCTCCGATCATCAATAAACTGATCAGTTAAACTTTGATCTTCTCCCGTGTTCGTCCCTCACAGGCTCCTGTAGTTTTAATGACAGTCTCTCACGTTACTTTAATGATGTCTCCTGTTCTGTTATAACTTCCATTACTATCTATAGTCTTTTTTTTTTATTTATTTTTTTTTTATTTACCCATTATTTTAAATTACTTGCTTATTAGGTGTTTGTATGTATTCAGTTATTTTTATATATTTATTTATGTATTTATTTATTTTTTTTTGTATATATCATTTATATTTTGTGAATTGATATAATTACAATTACATATAGTATATATATTGTATATTTTTTATTACTATAGTTATTACTCTATTTTATAGTATGTGTATGTATATGTATATTTATTGTTATATACTTATTAATATTTTTTATTTATTATTTTATCTTATTTTATTCATATATTTTCTTGTATCTCAACGATGATTTGTGTAGAGATTGTGATTGCTTTATGTTTAGCTACATTGATGCAGCCGATCCAACAAGGCAAGTGGTACAAGGAGTAGCACAGTGGCGTATTTTGCAAACCAGAGAGGAATGAGTGCAGTTGGTGTTGACTTGGGGAGGGAGGGAGGGATGTTTTGTGTTTGTGTTTGTACTGTTTAAAAGAAAAATGGAAATAAAAAAATGTTAATCATAAAAAAAATGACGGTCTCTCACCCGGACTCCTCCTTGTCTCCCCCCTTGTTCAGAACCTCTGCTGCCCACCCCCCTGAGGGGACGGGTCAGGGGTGGGTACATGTGGGACGCCTGGTCCTGAGGTTCTCCCCCTCTGTGGTCCACGAAGGGTCTCCTGTGTGGGACGTCCCCTCGAGGGGGGTGGGGCTGGTTCTCCCACAGGAGCTCCGCCTCTATGTCCGTGACGGGGTCTTCGTCTGACCTGGGGGAGTCAGGGGGGAGGGGCAGAGGACGCCGTTTCTCACCTCCGTCCACCTTCAGGTCATCTGGATCACAGCGACCTGAAAAACACAAAGACAAAAGAGTCCAGACCTGAAGGACCTCTAGGACCCCCCCAACAGGACCGTCAGGACCAGCAGGGTCTACCTCCTCGAGGGTCCAGGATCTCCACGCTCGCCGACGACCTCTGACCCAGGATGGCGTTCTGGGGGGTTTTCAGGGTCACAGTGAAGGACTCGTGGTTTTCCTCCAGACCGTCATCGACCAGGTAGATGGTCCAGGTTTTTAGGTCGACCCCTGAAGAAGAGGAGGAGGAGGAGGAGGAGGAGGAGGAAGAGGAAGAGGAGAAGAGGAAGAAATGGAAGAAGAGGAGGAGGAGAGGAGGAGGAGGAGTGAGAGGAGGAAGAGGAGGAAGAGGAGGAGGAGGAGAAGAGGAGGAAGAGGAAGAAATGGAAGAAGAGGAGGAGGAGAGGAGGAAGAGGAGAAGAGGAAGAAATGGAAGAAGAGGAGGAGGAGAGGAGGAGGAGGAGTGAGAGGAGGAAGAGGAGGAAGAGGAGGAGGAGGAGAAGAGGAAGAAATGGAAGAAGAGGAGGAAGAAGAGGAGGAGAAGAGGAGGAGGAGGAAGAGGAGGAGGAAGAGGAGAAGAGGAGGAGGAAGAGGAGGAGTGAGAGGAGGAGGAGGAGAGGAGGAGGAGGAGGAGAGGAGGAAGAGGAGAAGAGGAGGAGGAGAGAGGAGGAGGAGGAGGAGAGGAGGAGGAGGAGGAGGAGAGAGAGGAGGAGGAAGAGGAGGAGGAGGAAGAGGAGAAGGAGGAGGAGGAAGAGGAGGAGTCAGAGGAGGAGGAGGAAGAAGAGGAAGAGGAGGAGGAGGAAGAGGAGAAGAGGAGGAAGAGGAGAAGAGGAGGAGGAAGAGGAGGAGGCGGAGGAAGAGGAGGAGGAGAGGAGGAAGAGGAGGAGGAGGAGGAGGAGAAGAGGAAGAGGAGAAGAGGAGGAGGAAGAGGAGGAGTCAGAGGAGGAGGAGGAGGAGGAAGAGGAGAAGAGGAGGAGGAAGAGGAGGAGTGAGAGGAGGAGGAGGAGGAGAGGAGGAAGAGGAGGAGGAGGAGAAGAGGAGGAAGAGGAAGAAATGGAAGAAGAGGAGGAAGAAGAGGAGGAGAAGAGGAGGAGGAGGAAGAGGAGGAGGAAGAGGAGAAGAGGAGGAGGAAGAGGAGGAGGAGAGGAGGAGGAGGAGAGGAGGAAGAGGAGGAGGAGAGGAGGAAGAGGAGAAGAGGAGGAGGAAGAGGAGGAGTGAGAGGAGGAGGAGGAGGAGAGGAGGAGGAGAGGAGGAGGAGGAGGAGGAGGAAGAGGAGAAGAGAGGAAGAGGAGAAGAGGAGGAGGAAGAGGAGGAGTCAGAGGAGGAGGAGGAAGAAGAGGAAGAGGAGGAGGAGGAAGAGGAAGAGGAGGAGGAAGAGGAGAAGAGGAGGAGGAAGAGGAGGAGGCGGAGGAAGAGGAGGAGTGAGAGGAGGAGGAAGAGGAGGAGGAGGAGGAGGAGAAGAGGAAGAGGAGAAGAGGAGGAGGAAGAGGAGGAGTCAGAGGAGGAGGAGGAAGAAGAGGAAGAGGAGGAGGAGGAAGAGGAAGAGGAGGAGGAAGAGGAGAAGAGGAGGAGGAAGAGGAGGAGGAAGAGGAGGAGGCGGAGGAAGAGGAGGAGTGAGAGGAGGAGGAAGAGGAGGAGGAGGAGGAGGAGGAAGAGGAGAAGAGGAGGAGGAAGAGGAGGAGGCGGAGGAAGAGGAGGAGTGAGAGGAGGAAGAGGAGGAGAGTCTGAATCATGAAGAACAGGAAAGTTTTTTGTTTTAAAAAATCTTTTTTTTGTTTTTTTGACTTCAGTGTAAAATTTTTTCTCAGTTCTGAAAAATAAAAAAAGTACGAACACGCTGGTTCTGATCAGAACTATTGATTAAGAATGACAAATCTTCTGAAGCTGAAGGACGGGTTAAAGAGTTCTTCAGGATCACAGCGGGTCCACAAAGTTCGGCACCGACAGAAACTCATCAAACTTCGGCTTTTGTTGCTGCGGTTAAAAACTTTGATCGGAGTTTAAACATGGAGGAAATATTTTCGGTAAAATCCGAAGTGGGTCACAGGACTGGGGGTGGCAGACCTGGGTCAAACTGGATCAGGGCGGCTCTGCTGTGGGTGAAATCCCGACCTGGTTTGGCCGATCCTTCCTCCACCTGAACAAACAAACAAAAGTGTCGGATTATCGCCGATTCGACTCCGAGACAACGGAAAACAGGGGGGGGGTACCTGGATGGAAACGTAGGCGGGGTCCTGGCTCTGACCCGAGCGCTGGATCTGGATCTGCAGGGTCCCTGCTGTCTCACAGGTTCTGTAGCAGGTCACCGAGAGCTCGATCCGAGACCAGGACAGGTCCAGTCTGCAGGAGAGAGTCTGTGAATCCTTCAGAACACGGGTCAGAACTCAGAGACTGGACCAGAGGAACTGTCTGACCTCAGAGTCCAGAACTTCTCAGGTGACCCGGTCTACACCCACTAACTCACGTCTCGGGCAGCGCCGTGTTTCCTGCCGGGTCCACCAGGCGGAACTCAAAGCTGTCGGCCGTCACCTCCACGTCGGCGGGGAGGACAAAGACGACGGCGCGCTGGTCCACGTCTCTCTGGGTGAAGCGGCCTCTGATGTACGCACCTGTGAGAGCGGACAGAGTCTGAATCCACCTGAGGAAAGTCCGGTCAGGTGACCTCACCTGTGAGGGTCTGAAGGTCATCCTCCTCCTCACCTGTGAGAACGTTCTCCAGGTAACCGAAGTGCGGCGGTCTGCTGACGGAGAACTCCAGCTCCTCCGTCTGGGAGTCGGGGTCGGAGGCCTGCAGGTGTTTGGAGGTGATGAAGACGCCGTATCGACCCCCGCCCAGATCCACCACGGTGCTGGGGCTCCTCCTGGTGGTCAGAGTGGGAGGGGTCCGGTCCACCCGATGGACCTGAAGGCGACACGAGACGTTCATGAAGACGTGGAGAGAGTGACGATGTTTCTGCTCAGAGGACTGGATGGAGAAAGATCGTCATAAACTTTAATGATTATCATTTAATTTTAATTTTCAATCTTTTACTTTCATTTTTTAAGAGCCATTTATTTTATCTATTTATTACATATTTATTATTATTATTGTTATTATTATTATTATTATTAATGTATTTCATCTATTATTATTATTATTATAAATAATTGATTGTATTTATTTTTTATTATTATTATTATTAATAATGTATTTTATCTATTATTAATATTATTATAAATGATTGATTGTATTTATTTATTATTATTATGATTATTAATGTATTTTATTTATTATTATTATAAATGATTGATTGTATTTTATTATTATTATTATTATTATTAATGTATTTTACTTATTATTATTATTATAAATAATTGATTGTATTTATTTATTATTATTATTATTATTATAAATAATTGATTGTATTTATTTATTATTATTATTATTATTCATTTATTCGAGTTTTCATTTTCATTTTGAAGACAACGATGAGATTAAATAAAAATAAAGTTAAAAAAACCACAACACTCTCATGATGAGGAGCAGGCAGACTGAACTCACTGCTGCAGTTCACTGTCTCACCACCAGAGGTCGCCATCTTCATGTGTAATATTCAGCTGCAGCTTTGAGCAGCATTGAGCGTGCTCAGTGACCACTTCCTCTTTCACTCTAATGATCGGCAAATCAACTTTGAATTAATTTTTCTATCAGTGTTTAAATATGAAATTAAGTTATTATTAAAGTTATTAAAGTTACAAACTGTCAGAATGAAAAACGAGGAAATAAATCAGTGAGTGAGAGAGAGAGAGAGAGAGAGAGAGAGAGAGAGAGAGAGAGAGAGAGAGAGCGATCAACGAGAGGAAATACTACTGTAGAAATACTACTGAAGGAAATACTATAGTACAAATAAAACAATAGAAAAAAAAAAAACAATAGAAAATACTACTATAGGAAATACTAGGATAGAAATAATACTGTAAGAAATACTACGGTGGAAAATACTATAATAGTAAATACTATTGTCAATATACTACAATAGGAAATACTATAGTAAAAATACTTCAATAGGAAATGCTATAGCAGACAATACTATGGTAAAAAATACTACAATGAAAAACATGCCTTAAAAAAAACAAATATAATAATATAGAAATAATACAATATAAAAAACTATAGAAGAAATAATATAATGGTAAATACTATAGTAGAAAATACTACAATAGGAAATACTGTAGTAAAAAATACAACAATTAAAATACAACAACAAAAAATACTACAAGGGAATACTACAATAGAAAATACTGTCCTAGAAAATATTACTATGGAAGACACAACTGTATAAAAATACTACATTAAAAATACCACAATTAAAACAACTACAATTAAAAATACTACAGTAAAAAAATACAATTTACAGTGAAATACAACACTAAAAATATTACTATAGAAACTACTTCAATAGAAATACTATAATAAAAATACTACAATAGAAAATACATTAATAAAGAATACTTCTATACTAAATACAATAATAAAAATACTACAATGAAAATATTACTATAGAAACTACTGCAACAGAAATACTACAATAAAATATTACTATAGAAATACTACAATAAAAATATTACTATAGAAATACTACAATAAAAATATTACTACAGATATACTACAATAAAATATTACTATAGAAATACTACAATAAAATATTACTATAGAAATACTACAATAAAAATATTACTATAGAAATACTACAATAAAATATTACTATAGAAATACTACAATAAAAATATTACTATAGAAATACTACAATAAAAATATTACTACAGAAATACTACAATAAAATATTACTATAGAAATACTACAATAAAATATTACTATAGAAATACTACAATAAAATATTACTATAGAAATACTACAATAAAAATATTACTATAGAAATACTACAATAAAAATATTACTATAGAAATACTACAATAAAAATATTACTATAGAAATACTACAATAAAAATATTACTATAGAAATACTCCGACAGAAAATCCTCCTGCTGAAAAAAACCTGAATGAGAGAAAATCTGATTTGTGAAGGACTGAAGTCGACATGAGACACAGGAGTGTCTGTGGGTGTCAGTGTGTCTGTACATGTCAGTGTGTCTGTGGGTGTCAGTGTGTGTCTGTGGGTGTCAGTGTGTCTGTGGGTGTCTGTGTCTGTTGGTCTGTGGGTGTCAGTGTGTGTCTGTGGGTGTCTGTGTCTGTTGGTCTGTGGGTGTCAGTGTGTGTCTGTGGGTGTCAGTGTGTCTGTGGGTGTCTGTGTCTGTTGGTCTGTGGGTGTCAGTGTGTGTCTGTGTGTCAGTGTGTCTGTGCGTGTCAGTATCTGTGGGTGTCAGTGGGTGTCAGTGTGTGTCAGTGTGTCTGTGGGTGTCAGTGTCTGTGGGTGTCTGTGTCTGTTGGTCTGTGGGTGTCAGTGTGTGTCTGTGGGTGTCAGTGTGTCTGTGGGTGTCAGTGTGTGTCTGTGTCTGTTGGTATAGTGTTACTTCATCCATCCATCCATCCATTCATTCATCCCTTCACCTCAGCCCACAGCTGCCTGGCTCCGCCCTCACCTGTATGTTAAAAGCTGTCTGGCTCCGCCCTCACCTGTATGTTACAAGCTGCTGGCTCCGCCCTCACCTGTATGTTAAAAGCTGCTAGCTCCGCCCTCACCTGTATGTTAAAAGCTGCTGGCTCCGCCCTCACCTGTATGTTATAAGCTGCTGGCTCCGCCCTCACCTGTATGTTAAAAGCTGCTGGCTCCGCCCTCAGCTGTCCAAACTCCAGGTATCCTCTGTTGCTGCCATCTGTTGGCAGGAAGTCAAACCTGTCGATCTCTGCGGCGGCGCTGTTCTGGTCGTGTCTGTACGCCACCTTAAGCTCGTCGATGTCCACCTGTGTGAATCTGAGTGGAGGTGACAGCGGGACTCCGCCCACCAGCAGCTTCCCGTACCTTGGCGGCTTCACAATGATGAAGCTGAGGTTGTAGGTGGGGGTGTCGGGGTCGGTGAGCTGCAGCTGCTCGGCGGTGATGGTTTGGGCGGCGCCGTCCTGGAGCTGCAGACCCGTGTTGTGTTGAAGGGTTGGCGGGATGCGGTCGCCAAGTTCGATGGTGAAAGAGAGGGAGCCATGACGGGTCGAGTCGCCGTTTGAGACGATGAAACTGAGGAGACATTTTCAGGTCGGCGTCAGTCTTTGAATCAGTTTATCGGAAATTTAATCAGAGCGAAAAAAAGAGACGAACAGGAGGAGAAATGAGGCGAAATCAGGGCTCCGCCATTTTGGAAAAAAACTAACTCTGATATTTTTTTAACTCTGTGATATTTAAAAAAAAATCGATCACACTCGTACATCGCCATGACGATGCTCAAACGATATATGGTGCAGCCCAAGTTTAAATGTAATTAAAAAGATTTAAATGAGTTTGAATGATTAATAAAAAAAGTTAAAATGACTTTGAAGGAGTTTTAATTTGTTGAACATGATTAAAAGAGTTTAAATGTCATAAAATGAAAGTAAAAGAGCTAAAATGAGTTTAAATGCCATTAAAATTTTTGGAGAGTTTAAATAAAATATTTTAAAAAGTTTTAAAAAGTTTAAATGTTTTTGGAAGCATTTCGTTTTTGTCCTGACGTCCACAGCAGGAGTTTACCAGAGGCCTGTACTACGAAGCTGGATTAACAAATCCAGGATAACTCTGCGACAACTCGCTCAACTTCACCGGATCTCCGCGATCCCGATCAGCTGTACTACGAAGCAGGATATCAACTCGATAACTGAATCCAGTTCAGATCTGTGCGCGCACACGTAAAGGGGGCGGGGTCAGTGCCACCGGACCAATCTCCACAATGGAGAAGGCTGCACGTCATTTTTCACAGCTGAAGAACAGAGCTTTATTTAAACAGTGAGACAGACACAGCCGCTAAAAGCCGGAGGGACTGCCGGCAAAAAAAATCACCGGTTGTGTAAATTACATTTGTGCGTTCATAAATTTATGGCCCCCTAATATGTTGTCATGCAGCGTGTGTGATCACCTCCATCACTGACCTCATTATTTCAGATACAACAGCAGTGGGAAAAGAGTACGTGGGAGCAAATAAAAATAAATCTAAAAACATCCTTTAAAGTAGTTTGTAAGTTTATTGGAAGATTTTATTTGTACATATTTCAACGTGTAAACAGTGATTTCCTCACACTGCCTTTTTTTTCTCCATCATCTGATGGTCACGTCATCTGCAGACACATTTGGGGTTAAGAGTTTTCTAATCTGCTTCAATGAATTCTGAATGATGACTAACAAATTTGAACCTGGAGCTTGGCAAATATTAGTGTATTGCTTAGACTTCATGCTACCTGAATATTGAGGCCGTCCGAAGAAAACCTGTAACGTTCATAGAGAACGTCATCAGGTAAATCAAACGGATTTGAACGATCATGAATATAACGCTCTCGGCGAAGCGCTCCTCTCACTATCCGTGCAACGATGTCCCCGGGATCCGGCAAAAGTGGGCAAGCCATTTTCCAAGAGATCCGATTGGTCAGTGGGCGGTTTTTTATACCTGCTGAGCTCTTATCCTGAAACATAACCTGCTCCGGAGCAGGTTTGGCGTTCCGCGTAAGTTACCGGGGCAACGGACCCGGATAAAAAGAGATCCACCTTCGTAGTACAGAAAACCCAGAAGTTATCCAGAAGTTATCTCGCTAAGACCAAATCCAGCTTCGTAGTACAGGCCTCTGGACGTCGTTGTTTAATCGAGTCGCTGTTTCTCACCTGAAGGCGTCGGTCGTGGCGTGATGACTGTTGTCGTGTGTGTAACACACTCGGTGCGCAGCGACGTCCAGCTGTGTGAAGGAAACCAGCGGGACTCCGGTCTGATGGACGGCGTGGATGAGGCCGTGGCGAGGAGGGACAGATACGGTGTAGACTAGATCCTCCGGACGACCTGAGGAGTCCGACGCCGTCAGGATGTCGGTATTTAGGACGACCCGCTGACCTTCGGACAGGTGGACGGGTTTACTGGACAGAACCAGCTCACCTGGAGGGACACACACACGGACCTGTTTACACACACACACACACACACACACTGAACACACACACACACACACACACACACACACACACTGAACACACACACACACACACACACTGAACACACACACACACACACACACACACACACACTGAACACACACACACACACACACACTGAACACACACACACACACACACACACACACACACACACACACTGAACACACACACACACACACACACTGAACACACACACACACACACACACACTCTCACACACACACACACACACACACTGAACACACACACACACACACACACACACACACACTGAACACACACACACACACACACACACACACACACACTGAACACAGACACACACACACACACACACTGAACACACACACACACACACACGCGCACGCACGCACACACACTGAACACACACACACACACACACATGGGTGGGGGGGCATAAGCAGGTGTGATGGCGAATCATAGCGGTGACCTCTGACCTTTCTGCAGGTTGTGGATGGAGATGAAGAAGCTGTGGGCGGGGCTCTCGTTCTCCAGGTCACTGAGGGTGAAGCGGAAGCTGTCATGACCTTTGAACCCGTCGGCGTTGGCGGCGACGGTGTGCGTGTACCACAGACGGTTCATCTCCACGTCCTCCTGAGTGAAGTTCTGACCCGCCGACAGCTTCGTCCAGCCGGACTCGGACTGCAGACGGTCAGACGGGTCAGAACCAGAAGGAGAGGAAGAGGTCAGAGACAGGAAAGAGAATCAACTACTTCCTGTCTGTGATGATGTCACCGTCAGAAGAACGACCTCTAACCTAAGTTTCTCAAAGATGTCAGCTGATGATTGGTCAGTTCTCTGATCTCGACTGTAACTCCGCCCACATTCCTCCACAGGTCAAAGGTGACTGTATGTAGAGCTTTATCACTCAGATGTGATTGTCTTGGACGAGTATAGATGTAAAGAACCTAGATCACCTTCAGCTGAAGTTTTCCAAAACGGGGTCCAGAATTCAGGAAGTAGTAGACCTGGTTTGGACCTGAGTCCAGGTCCTCGGCCTCCAGAACCACGCTGGAGATCACCCGGGTCTCACCTGAGTCCACCTGCAAGCCTGCATTCCTGAAACACCAACGAAGAAGAAAAGGATCAAACCCGCCTTCTGTCAGCGCTCGGTGGTTCCACGATGAAAAACAAGCTACGCTAACTCACGCTGTGTCCAGATGACTTCACTGTGTGGGCTGTTACTATGGTAACGAGCAATTAAATATGGTGTTACTATGGTAACAAGAGATGTAACATGGTGTTTCTGAATTGTTTGAGTCGCCCTATAGAGGGTTAAAACAGGTGTGTGTGTTTGAATACAGGTGTGTGTGTGTGTGTGTAAATACAGGTGTGTGTTTGAGTACAGGTGTGTGTTTAATTGAATGTGTGTGTTTGAGTACAGGTGTGTGTGTAAATACAGGTGTGTGTGTAAATACAGGTGTGTGTTTGAGTACAGGTGTGTGTTTAATTGAATGTGTGTGTTTGAGTACAGGTGTGTGTGTAAATACAGGTGTGTGTGTAAATACAGGTGTGTGTTTGAGTACAGGTGTGTGTTTGAGTACAGGTGTGTGTGTAAATACAGGTGTGTGTAAATACAGGTGTGTGTAAATACAGTTGTGTGTAAATACAGGTGTGTGTTTGAGTACAGGTGTGTGTTAAAGTACAGGTGTGTGTTTAAGTACAGGTGTGTGTGTAAATACAGGTGTGTGTTTGAGTACAGGTGTGTGTTTGAGTACAGGTGTGTGTGTAAATACAGGTGTGTGTTTGAGTACAGGTGTGTGTTAAAGTACAGGTGTGTGTGTGTAAATACAGGTGTGTGTTTGAATACAGGTGTGTGTAAATACAGGTGTGTGTGTGTAAATCTTGACTGACTTTGACTCCTGCAGCAGGAATCAGGAAGTTCTAGCAGGTTTTTAGAGGGCGGACAGGGTCTGGGGGTGTTGGTGGTGTTTTTGTGGTGGTGCAGTTATAGGTGGTGGTGGTGGTGGGTGGGGATGGGGAGGGGGTCTGAACATTAGAAACCGTCTGGCTGCTTCTTCACTTGGAAGTAAAATCCGCTCAGGACAGAAGCCGCCACGTCCATCCTGCAGGAACGCAAAAACACGGAGGTCGGCATCTGCCAAGTCTGAGCGTTACTTCAGCTTCAGCGAGCTTTACAGCACCAGCTGAGTGTGTGCCAACACACACACACACACACACACACACACACACACACACACACACACACACACACACACACACACACACCAGCGATCCGGGGACAGGGTGTAGGTGAGGGGGGGGGGACTCAGTGAAGGATGTAAATTCCCGATCAGTCAAATGAAAATATTATGGGTGGGGGAGGAGGTGGGGGGTCGCAGGATTTACCACCCAGTCATGCAGAGAAACTCCCCACATGTGCACACACAGGTCCCTCCCCCCGGTGACCCCCCTGACCTCCCCCCTCCTCCTTTCTCTGTTTCATATGAGGGTCAGCCAAGATGGCGGCAGGTGTGGACGCAGCGGCCCCTCTCTGTCCTGACAGTTCGCTGTTTTTGTTTAAATTGTTTGATGATGGTCGATAATGGCGGACAACCGTCAGTCCAACACACTCATGGAGACTCTGAGCGAGTCACTGCGACCACGCCAGACTCCACTGCTGACCGCTTTTGGCGTCTAAAATAAAGTTAACCACGTGAGAAATGAGCGAGAAATGACTGATTTTGATTGGACTGACTTTAACGGGAACGACACCCCCACCAAGATGGCTGCCACATATCCACGCAGCTTAGAGGGGCGTGTCCTATCTACTACTCATATATCTACAGTCAAATATGTTTATTTTTAAATGACCATGAACTTTGACCTCCAACAGTCAGTAGTGCGACACAAACGAGAATAAGATAAACTCCAGGCCCAAAGTTTGGAAGTTCAGATTAGTCCAAACAAAGATCAAAGTTTCATTAATATAATTTTAAACACAGTAACCATGACTACAGTGTAAAGAGTAACTGATCTGAAGACATTCTGACTATAATTCTGAGGTATTTGAGTTTTTGTTGTTAGACTTTCTTTAAAGTTACCTCCTCTGGCTTTAACAACAGCTCAGCATAAACCAGGTACCAAGTTTTCTAAGGTCTGTTCCAGGGATTACATTCAAGCTTTCTTAAGTTCATTAAAAAGAGACGCTGATTCAAGGGACGAGTTTTTCTGACCGATCGATCCGATTCATCCACACAAGCTCAGATGGAGAAAGGTCTGGAGACTGAGGGACCAAACCATCTTTTGAAGAACACCTTCCTCTTCTCTTTTGTCTCGGTAACCCTGACAGAGCTCGGCAGAGAGCTTAGGGTCATCGTCTTACTGCAAAACAAACTTCTGAGCCACAAGTCTGAGTCCAGATGGAGCAGCATGGTGCTGGAGGATGGAGTGGTACTGTTCCTTCTTCATGATTTACTTCAAACAAATCTCCTACTCCATCACCTGATAAACATCCCCATACCATGAACTACCACCTCCATGCTGAACTGTGGGTGTAACACATGGAGCTTTCAGACGTTCACCAGTTTGTCTCATCAGAACTTCCAGGTTCCTCTCGTCTCCTCAGAGTGTAGTCGACTCCTTTGTTAAACACCTTTAGGCCTTTTTCTCTTCCTGTGTTTCCTTCTTTCCTCGATGTACAAATCTGTACTTTTGTTTCTTTACTCAGCTGCTTCTTTCTGGTCATTTCTGCGGTAGTTTGAACTCAGTTTAGATTTATTCAGATTTTTGTCTGCAGACTCTAAGAAGACAAAAAGTTGAAGTGAATAATCCAACTGTGATTTGTTGTTTTTTTGTGACTCTTGAAAATGTTTTCGACCCTAAAACTAAGCCCTTATTATCTTTAGCTGACATATATTTAGCAATGGTCTGTTAACATCGATGTTTATCTGAAGGTAAATGGAGTAAAATGGTGCGTTTCCATGGAAACAACATCTGATCATGGAGTAAATACATCCTAAAATACATCAAACTGGAGTTAAAAAAAGACGTGAACAAAAACTTGAAGTTACTCTGAACTGATCGGCCTGAAACGGCCGCGCCTCCAAACCTTTGACCTGTAGTGTACTTCCTCTGAGTGTGTGTGTGTGTGTGTATGTGTGTGTGTGTGTGTGTGTGTGTGTGTGTGTGTGTGTGTGTGTGTGTGTACTTGAGCAGCCGCGGTTTCTCATCGTTGACCAACATCACGGTGACCTGCGCCGTCTCCTGGACCGTGTGGACGCCATCTGTCAACTGTAGCGACACAGCGTCCTTCAGGGTCTCTGTGCCATCATGAACGTATGTGACCTTTAACCCTGCAGAAGGGGGGGTGCGGGGTGCAGAAAAGGGGAGGAGCATTTGAAGTATTTACTCTGACACCAGCTCACCTGTTCACACCTGAGGCCTGGACCACGACGCCGATCTTAGCGAGGTATCCTTTCTATCAGGGTCCGTTTCCCCGGTAACTCGCGCCGAACGCCAAACCTGCTCCGAGTCAGGTTCTGTTTCAGGATAAGATCTCAGCAGGTAGAAAAGACCGCCCACAGACGGTGAGCGGAGCGCTTCGCCGAGAGCGTTATATTCATGGTCGTTACCTGATGACGTGATCCGTGAAGGTTACAGGTTTTCCTCAGACGACCTCAATATTCAGGAAACAGGAAGTCTAAGAAACGCACAAATACTCGCCGATCTCCACGTTCCAGTTTCATATCAGTCCTCCTCTGTGTCTGCAGACGACGACATGTGACCATCAGACGACGACATGTGACCATCAGACGACGACATGTGACCATCAGATAACAACGGTACGCCGTGTCACTACCTGATCAGCCCCGTAACAGGACCCCTGAGCCGTCTACAGGACTGCCTGACTGTAACGTCTGAACTAGAGGTGCGTTCTTATGAGGCAGCCGGCGCCCGGAGAACGCGCTAGCAACAATCAACCAATCGATTCTTAATGCGCCTTCTGTGTGAACAAAGACGCGTTCATTCACAGAGCGCCGTATGATCCGCTGCGCCTGAAAATAAACCGACGAACCTTTGAAGGACGTTTTTAGGTTTATTTTCCCGCCGCTGTTTTTACATTTGAAGTGATGAGGTCAGTGATGATGGTGATCACATGATCACACACGCTGCATGACGACATATTAGGGGACCATAAATTTGTAAACGCACAAATCTAATTTACACAAACGGCGATTTTCCGCCAGCTGTCCCTCCGGCTTCTCGCGGATGCAGCAGTTTTGCTCCTCGCCGTTTTAATGTTGCGGTACTACTGCGGTAACGCTCTGTTCCTCGGCGGTGAAATATCCTGCCTCATAGAACAGCTGATCAGGATGACAGAGATCTGGTGATGTTGAGCGAGTGGCGGCGGAGTTCTCCCGGGCTTGTAGTCTAGGCCCTGCCCCCTCACTCTCTCTCTCACCTTGTCGCAGCTCCTGCAGAGTGAAGGAGGTGACAGGGAGGCTCCTCTGCAGGAGGTCAGCCGCCATCATCTGGTTACCATAGATACCAGAGATCAGGCGTCCGTGAGCCGGAGGCCGCAGGACCGTGAAGGTCAGGGTGTCTGGAGGGGCGTCCAGATCAAAACCGTCCAGGATGGAGGGGGTCAGCTCCCTGGCCCCGCCCTCTTTCACCTGCAGGGGGCGGAGACATTAGTGAAAATTCATCCGTTCATCACAGAGTGAAAACATGAGGAGACCCTCGCCAGGTGAACTCACAGTGAAGTTGGCGAGCGTCAGTGACGGCGTCTCGTCATTGGTCGGATTGATGATGATGTAAAAGGGGACGGGGGCGGAGCGATGGAGCCCGTCACTCACACTGATGGTCAGCTGATCCACGGTTGGCTCCGCCCCTTTGCTCTCTGACTGGACGTAGTTAATGAAACCAGAGGTCAGGTGGACGAGACTGAAGGACTCTGGGAAAATAAAACATCAGGGTCGGATCAGATCTACCACACACACACACACACACACACACACACACACACACACACACACACACACACACACACACACTGACCAACTCGGACTCCGGCGTTGCTCTTCTCTGAACCCGGCGTCGGCAGCGTGTTCTCCAGGAAGCCGTGCAGAGGGGGCGTGTCCAGGTGAAAGGTCAGGTGATCCGGGGAGGTGTCAGGGTCGGAGGCCCCCAGGACCCCCCCACAGAGACAGGCTGAAGAGCCCTCGGTCACCACAAACATGGAGTCACCTGGAGGGGGGAGACGGGGGGAAGAGAGAGAAAAAGAGAGGGGCGGGGTCAAACAAAAAAAAAAATTAACTACTGAAGAAAACAGGAAATAGAAGAGAAAACAGGAGATAGAGGAGAAAACAGGAGATAGAAGAGAAAACAGGAAATAGAGGAGAAAACAGGAAATGGAGGAGAAAACAGGAAATAGAAGAGAAAACAGGAGATAGAGGAGAAAACAGGAAATAGAGGAGATAGAGGAGATAGAGGAGAAAACAGGAAATAGAGGAGAAAACAGGAAATAGAGGCGAAAACAGGAAATAGAGGAGAAAATAGGAAATAGAGGAAAAAACAGGAAATAGAGGAGAAAACAGGAAATAGAGGAGAAAACAGGAAATAGAGGAGAAAACAGGAGATAGAGGAAAAAACAGGAAATAGAAGAGAAAACAGGAGATAGAGGAGAAAACAGGAGATAGAGGAGATAGAGGAGAAAACAGGAAATAGAAGAGATAGAGGAGAAAACAGGAGATAGAGGAGAAAACAGGAGATAGAGGAGAAAACAGGAAATAGAGGAGAAAACAGGAAATAAAGGAGAAAACAGGAGATAGAGGAAAAAACAGGAAATAGAGGAGAAAACAGGAGATAGAGGAGAAAACGGGAAATAGAGGAGATAGAGGAGAAAACAGGAAATAGAAGAGATAGAGGAGAAAACAGGAGATATAGGAGAAAACAGGAAATAGAGGAGAAAACAGGAGATAGAGGAAAAAACAGGAAATAGAGGAGAAAACAGGAGATAGAGGAAAAAACAGGAAATAGAAGAGAAAACAGGAAATAGAAGAGAAAACAGGAAATAGGGGAAAAACAGGAAATAGAGGAGATAGAGGAGAAAACAGGAGATAGAGGAGAAAACAGGAAAAAGAGGAGATAGAGGAGAAAACAGGAAATAGAAGAGAAAACAGGAAATAGAGGAAAAAACAGGAAATAGAGGAGATAGAGGAGAAAACAGGAGATAGAGGAGAAAACAGGAGATAGAGGAGAAAACAGGAGATAGAGGAGAAAACAGGAAATAGAGGAGATAGAGGAAAAAACAGGCGATAAACCTATCAACTTGTTCATCTCCTTGCTGTCTATACATCCACACACTCATCCCCCGACCATCCATCCATCCATCCATCCATCCATCCATCTCTGGTTACTTTCACTCTCTTCTTGTTCAGTCTGTTTCCTTTTTTCTGAATTTTCTCCAAGAATATTTTTTAAATGTGTTTATTATATGTGTCTGTGTGTGTGTGTGTGTGTGTGTGTGTGTGTGTGTGTGTGTGTGTGTCTGTGTGTAAATGAAAGTCCTGTGTCTGTCAGATAAACAAGCGTCCCCCTCTCTCTCTCACACACACACTGAGGTGAAGCGTCAGACAGTTAGCGGGTTAACGATGGAAACTGCTAATTAATAACAACACACAAACACACGAATACACACCACACAGTCCACATATCCCCCTTTCTGCACGGCCGTGATGAATGAATAAATGAATTAGTGAGTGAGTGAGTGAGTGAGTGAGTGAGCGGTAAGACGCACTGGCAGCATTTCAGAGTTATCCTGCTGTTGTTAGCGCTGCGCTAATCCAGCTAACGACACGACTAAGACACGTCTGCTATTGTTAGACAGGGACGCTACTCAATCTAAAAGACCGCTATTGTCCAAGTCTGCTGAGACACACACACACACACACACACACACACACACACACACACACACTCTGGGGACTGTTGTGGTTCTCGCTGCAGCCTGAGCCAAAAAAAGGGATTGGAGGAGCTCTGTGGTTATCAATGGAGACCAGTGACCACTGGGATTCACACTGGGAGGACTGGGAGCTGCTGCTGCTGCTGTGTGTGTGTGTGTGTGTGTGTGTGTGTGTGTGTCTGTGTGTGTGTGTGTGTGTGTGTGTGTGTGTGTGTGTGTGTGTGTGTGTGTGTGAGTGTGTGTGTGTGTGTGAGGAGGAAAAAGACATGTTTGCACACTGTAAAAAAATCACAGTTTCAGTTCAAGTTAAACTCTCATCAGATTGGCAGCTGTGACTGAAGGCGGAGCTGCTGCAGCGTCTGTCTGCTCCTCATCGGGTTTAAAGACACTAACCCATTAACTGACCTCCACCTTCATCCTGATCGTCTCCTAAAAGGTCGTATCCTCCGATCGTAGCTGATCGTAACCATTCAAGTTAACGTGTCAATTTACACCGACTTCTTTCCGTTCCTCTGAGGATCGCCGGACTCCTCAGCTGATCACAAGAGTTCTATTTTTTCTGGACGCCGGAGCATGGCGGATAAATTCAGCACAGATTAACCCGTGCTGGAAAGGAAGTCGGGCACAGACTTCAAAATAAAACATCCGGCTTCTTTTCAAAATAAAACACTCCGTGTTTCAGGAGGATCGTATTTCACACCATGCAAACGGGCGGAGACGAACAAGTGAAAGGTTTTTAGACGTCATTTCACCGCTGTCCGTAACTCACCACGAAATTCTCCTCACAAACGGCTCCTGTAGGAATTGGCGGACAGTGAAAATCGCCGCCATTCTGGATGCGGTGAAAATTGATGGTCAGGTGTGTTTCTACTCACACTTTCACAGACATAGTTTTAATGTCACCGAGTGATATCTCCATCTGACGGTGAAGAAACCAGCTGTGGAAAAAAAACAACAAATTTAAACCTAAAAATCCGTTATTCAGAGAGGTCCTGGTTCTGATGGTTCTGATGGTTCTGATGGTTCTGATGGTTCTGATGTTAGACCCTGAAAAGTGTCCCAGTCCAAACTAATGAATTTAAATCACAAATGTCTTAAAATAAAAGAACGTTCGTTTTTTACAGTGTGTATGTGTGTGTGTATATGTGTGTATATGTGTATGTGTGTGTGTGTGTTTCTCAGCGAGCTTAGTGAGCGAACACGGTTGGCACTGACATGTTTCAAGTAAATCTGCCCATTGTCCGCTGGTATCACACACACACACACACACACACACACACACACACACACACATTTGTCTCCTTTTGAGTGTGTGTGTGTGTGTGTGTGAACATGTAATGCCCCCCCCCCCCCCAGAGTGTGTGTCGGGCTGATAGGTGGCGGCGTGTCGTAGGGTCAGAGCTGCTCAGCTGAATTAAGAGGATTTCAGAGAGTGAACACATACACACACACACACACACACACACACACACACAGACACACACACACACACACACACACACACAAAAGGAGACAAATTTAAGACTTCCAGGTTTTTTTTAGATGAAACGTTCATTTTCAGGTCAAACAGACTCGAGGATTTGACCTGCAGAAATGATCAGGACCATCCGGTCCTGGAAATCTACTTCTAGACTTCTAGAATCAGCATCTCCTCATCCATGGTGTCATCGGGGTGAAATGACGTCTAAAAACCTTTCACTTGTTCGTCTCCGCCCGTTTGCATGGTGTGAAATACGATCCTCCTGAAACACGGAGTGTTTTATTTTGAAAAGAAGTCGGATGTTTTATTTTGTGTCTGTGCCCGACTTCCTTTCCAGCACGGGTTAATCTGTGCTGAATTTATCCGCCATGCTCCGGCGTCCAGAAAAACTAGAACTCTTGTGATCAGCTGAGGAGTCCGGCGATCCTCAGAGGAACGGAAAGAAGTCGGTGTAAATTGACACGTTAACTTGAATGGTTACGATCAGCTACGATCGGAGGATACGACCTTTTAGGAGACCATCAGGATGAAGGTGGAGGTCGGGGGTCAGGATGGAGACAGTCTTACCCAAAGAGACCGAGGGCACCTGGCTGTTGACGGGCAGGATGGTGATGTTCAGGTCGTACACAGGTAGACTGCCGTGCAGAGGTACAGGAGGGGGCGGGGCATCTCCATGGCAACAGCTCTCAGTCCCTCCAGCCTCCCCGTCAGAGATGATGAGAGTGACCGTGTCTAAAACCGGATCAGGTCCGATCTCTCCTCCTGCAGGAACAAACTCAGCTGTTAGCAGATCCAGAGTCCACGCCAACATGAGGACTCAGACCCGCGGCTCTGACCCGGTCTCACCTGTGTGGACGTAGTACACCTGTCCCTGCAGCAGGTCCTGTTGGGAGAACTTGTCCACGCTGAGTCCAGCTCTCTGCAGCTCCCCTCTTCCTGGACTTCGAGCCAGCATGTAGGTCAGTCTTGAGTCCTCGCTGTCCCGGTCAGTGGCGGACAGGTAGTCCACTGTCACCTGGACCCGCCCTCCCTCCTCACAGCTCAGGCCCCCCAGGAGATCCCCGCCCAGCTGTGGAGGCTCATCGTTCATGGGCAGCACCTGAGACCACAGCAGTCCTGATCAGGGACAGGAAGTTCTCTGGAACAGCTGCTGTCCAATCAGGTTGACTCCGTCTCAGGTATCAGTCTCATGGGTTTACCTGTAGATTACTGGTTGCTCACCTGTATGAGAAGAAGGACATCAGCTGAGTTCAGACCGTCCGTCACCTTCAGACCAACTTCATCCTCGGTCGTCTCAGAGTCATCGTGGATGTACCTGAAATACAGAGGAACTAAAGTTTGTTTGACAGAGGGACCACAGAGGGACCACAGAGGGACCACAGAGGGACCACAGAGGACTGAGGGACCACAGAGGGACCACAGAGGGACCACAGAGGGACCACAGAGGACTTAGGGACCACAGAGGGGCCACAGAGGGGCCACAGAGGGACCACAAAGGGATGACAGAGGAAACAAAGAGGACTAAAGGACCACAGAGGGACCACAGAGGGACCACAGAGGACTAAGGGACCACAGAGGGACCACAGAGGACTAAGGGACCACAGAGGGACCACAGAGAACTTAGGGACCACAGAGGGACCACAGAGAACTTAGGGACCACAGAGGGGCCACAGAGGGGCCACAGAGGGACCACAGAGGGACCACAGAGGGACCACAGAGGGACCACAGAGAGACCACAGAGGGGCCACAGAGGGAACACAGAGGACTGAGGGACCACAGAGGGACCACAGAGGACTGAGGGACCACAGAGGGACCACAGAGAGACCACAGAGGGGCCACAGAGGGACCACAGAGGACTGAGGGACCACAGAGGGACCACAGAGGACTGAGGGACCACAGAGGGACCACAGAGGGGCTACAGAGGGACCATAGAGGGACAGAGTGACCACAGAGGGACCACAAAGGGACCACAGGGGACTAAGGGACCAGAAAGGGACCACAGGGGACTAAAGGACCACAGAGGGACCATAGAGGACTGAGGGACCGATGTTGCTGGTGCTGAGGGAAACAGGTCTGCAGGAACTTTTGTCTTCTTCTGTTTTTAGAATTTGTCTTTTATTTAAATCCATTTTTGGTTCAATTTCTGTTTCTTAGGACGTCGATTATCGACCGAAACTGAATACTGTTGATTGTTTTGTGAACGTTCTTCATTCTTCTGTTGTTCTTTTCTATTGTTCCTTCAACTTTACTGTTGTTTGTTGTTTACTGTAGTTTATTGTAGTTTACTGTAGTTTGTTGTTGTTTACTGTAGATTGTTGTTGTTTACTGTAGTTTGTTGTAGTTTACTGTAGTTTGTTGTTTACTGTAGATTGTTGTTGTTTACTGTAGTTTGTTGTTGTTTACTGTAGATTGTTGTTGTTTACTGTAATTGTTTACTGTAGTTTGTTGTTGTTGACTGTAGTTTATTGTTGTTTACTGTAGATAGTTGTTGTTTACTGTAGATTGTTGTTGTTTACTGTAGTTTGTTGTTGTTTACTGTAGATTGTTGTTGTTTACTGTAGTTTGTTGTTGTTTACTGTAATTGTTTACTGTAGTTTGTTGTTGTTTACTGTAGATTGTTGTTGTTTACTGTAGTTTGTTGTTGTTTACTGTAGTTTGTAGTTGTTTACTGTAGTTTATTGTAGTTTACTGTAGTTTGTTGTTGTTTACTGTAATTGTTTACTGTAGTTTGTTGTTGTTTACTGTAGATTGTTGTTGTTTACTGTAGTTTGTTGTTGTTTACTGTAGATTGTTGTTGTTTACTGTAGTTTGTTGTTGTTTACTGTAGATTGTTGTTTACTGTAATTGTTTACTGTAGTTTGTAGTTGTTTACTGTAGATTGTTGTTGTTTACTGTAATTGTTTACTGTAGTTTGTTGTTGTTTACTGTAGATTGTTGTTGTTTACTGTAGTTTATTGTTGTTTACTGTAATTGTTTACTGTAGTTTGTTGTTGTTTACTGTAGTTTGTTGTTGTTTACTGTAGTTGTTTACTGTAGTTTGTTGTTGTTTACTGTAGATTGTTGTTGTTAACTGTAGATTGTTGTTGTATACTGTAGTTTGTTGTTGTTTACTGTAGATTGTTGTTGTTTACTGTAGATTGTTGTTGTTTACTGTAATTGTTTACTGTAGTTTGTTGTTGTTTACTGTAGTTTGTAGTTGTTTACTGTTGTTGTTTACTGTAGATTGTTGTTGTTTACTGTAGTTTGTTGTTGTTTACTGTAGATTGTTGTTGTTTACTGTAGTTTGTTGTTGTTTACTGTAGATTGTTGTTGTTTACTGTAGTTTGTTGTTGTTTACTGTAGATTGTTGTTGTTTACTGTAGTTTATTGTAGTTTACTGTAGTTTATTGTAGTTTACTGTAGTTTATTGTAGTTTGTTGTTGTTTACTGTAGATTGTTGTTGTTTACTGTAGATTGTTGTTGTTTACTGTAATTGTTTACTGTAGTTTGTTGTTGTTTACTTTAGTTTGTAGTTGTTTACTGTTGTTGTTTACTGTAGATTGTTGTTGTTTACTGTAGTTTGTTGTTGTTTACTGTAGATTGTTGTTGTTTACTGTAGTTTGTTGTTGTTTACTGTAGATTGTTGTTGTTTACTGTAGTTTGTTGTTGTTTACTGTAGTTTATTGTAGTTTACTGTAGTTTATTGTAGTTTACTGTAGTTTATTGTAGTTTGTTGTTGTTTACTGTAGTTTGTTGTAGTTTACTGTAGTTGTCTGCTGCGGTGTAGTGCCTGGCGCCCCCTCGGCCCGTCAGACCCGTCTCACCTGAGCCGCAGTCCTCTCAGGTCCTGCAGGCTGAACCCGTCTCCCTGCGACAGCGTCCTCCCCTGCAGCTCTAGGCGGCCGTGGCGAGCTGTCCTGCATACCTCGACCCTCAGCGCCTCCTCCAGGCTGTCTCGGTCCCGGACCAGGAGGTGCTCCTCTGTCACAAAGGCCCCTCCCCCTTCCTCCACCCGCAGCAGGTTAGTGAACACCTGAAAACCACAGACAGTCAGTGAGGACCAGGAGAATATCACGACCATCAAACCAGGAGCTCTGCCCAGTTGACCTCTGACCTCTGGTGCCTGGTCGTCCACAGGAGTGATGGTGATGTTAAAGACGAGGTCACTGATGGTGCCGCCATGGTGGTCGCTGACAGAGAAGACGAACTGGACGAATAACGGCTCAGGACCGATGTCCTCGACAGGAGGCATGAAGGCGACTTTCATGTGATTCACTGCATGCTGGGGGGAGAGAGGTGATTGGAGGACGTCAGCAACAGGAAGACCATCAGGACCAACCAGAAACCTGTGTTCAGTGTGACACCTGGGTCAGACCTGTGTGAAGGACTTTAACACGGGAACCATGTGGTCCTTCTTCATGGCGTTGGCGCTGTCCGTGTAAAACAAACGTCCTGCGTCCATCAGCCTGAGAAGAAGAAGAACCAAAGTGTGGATCACGAAGGTCCAGAGGAGTTTTTAGTAAAGAGTCCTGTCTGCACTTACCCAGGATGCACTGGGCTGAAACAGGGCGTGGTGATGATGTAGCTCAGGTCGGTGTCAGGGCGCTCTCTGTCCGTGAAGTGAAGCTGAGCCTGAGTGATGTAAACGACCTCCGTCTCCTTCACCCTCAGAGAGCGAACGCTGCCCACCACCTCAACAGGAAGCTGGTCCTTCACTGGAAAGATGTGGACCACGACCATCTGAAGACCGCCGGGACAAAGAGAGAGACAGAAGGTTAAAGACGTGGACCATCATCTTCTGTAAACGGCGAGGAGCAGTAGTTGGTTGGTGTGACTCACGTATGTCTGGGAGAGGTTGGGCGGCTGGTTACTGTCTGACAGGCTGAACTCGAAGGAGTCCTCAAAGATCTCGTCTCCTGAGTGCTGGTAGAAGATCTGACCCTGGACCAGGTCTCTCTGCAGAAAACTGTCCACTGGAGCTCCTGCAGGGACACAAACATCAGCAGATAACCTGGACTGTGGAGACCACAAACAGACCTGGTCCCAGGATCTGAAACTTGAAGACTGACTTTATGAACCATGAGGGTCATTTTCCATCTGCTCATGTTCGGTGTGAAGAACTTTGACACAAACTCGTCTCAGAGAGTTTTAAGTTCAGAGTCCTGAAGTTTGGGTCCAAAGCTTTCATGAAGGTGGTTCAGAAGAACATGATCCTGATCCATGATCCTGGTTTTGGGTCAGGCTGCTGCTCCTGAACCACCAGGACTTTCTTCTGATGTGAGCAGGTCTTTGATAATCCGGACTCTACTAATCTAAGTTTGTCTGTGACCGACGGCGGAGTATCAGGGTCACGGTACGAAAAGGAAATCAGACTTCAGGATTAAAATCTTTAATAAAGTCGTAATAAAGTCGTAATAAAGTCGTAATAAAATCGTAATAAAGTCGTAATAAAATCGTAATAAAGTCGTAATAAAATCGTCATTGACAAGATTATTTCGACTTTATTCTCGTTCATAATTACAAAGTCTTAATTTACGGCCGTTTTACTCCGTCATCGTATCTTCCCAGTTTGAATGTTAAACTTTATTTAAACAGCCCTGATACTGATTTTAGCTCCTCCCCTGTGACTTAGATCAGACACGCCCCCCGCCGACCCTCTGTGGAGGTTTTTCTCTGATCATGTGGTCACCTGTCTCTTGGGCGGAGCTCTTCCTGACCAGTTGCCCCGCCCGAGGTTTGCGCTCCATCTGGTAGAGGATGTAGTCATCGCTGGAGTCCAGGTCAGAGGCCAACAGCATGTACTCCTCCAACCGCACGGCTCCGCCCTCCTGCACCTCCACCGCCACGTTGTTGATGAGAAATGGCGGCGAGTCGTCTTTGGGCAGGATGTTGATGGGAAACTTGTGGCGGATGCTGTGCCGGCCGTCACTAATACGGAAGAGGATGTGGTCGCGGGTGGTGTCACTGTCCGAGTGATGGTAGACGACCACGCCCTCCTTTAGGTCACGCACACGAAACATGAAGGCCCGCCCACCTGAGGACAAAAAGAAAAAATGGACAAAAACCCAAAAATCATTGTTATTGATTATCATCTTTATGAACACATGAATTAACGATCTGATCAATATTAGTGATTGATCAGCTGATCGATTGATCTCCGTCTGCAGATGAAAATAATTGAAGCAGAAATATCGACTCAAACTTCTGAAGGTGTTTTTGTTTCAAAGTGAATCTTCAGATTTTCATCGCTGATCTCTGCGGCGAGGAGGACGGCGAGGAGGACGGCGAGGAGGACGGCGAGGAGTGCGGCAGTTGGACGAACATGAGAAACTTTTCTGTCCTACATTAATGAAACGTTGGCGTGTCCATCTGTCGGCGCTCGGCTGCTGGCCGCTCCTCATCAAACCTACATCATGCTAACGCTAACAGCACAGCGTCACATGACTGGCGGTCGACTGGCGGACATGTGTTGTTGTCAGAGGAGCGGGTTCAGTTCGCAGCCAGAGATTCGCTCTTTGATTCAATTACCGTCTCCCACACATGCACGTGTTTTTCTCTCTTTGTCACTTGGAAATAACAAGTTTCTCTCAGCGCCTGAAGGCACCGCGCCGCACCGCTCCACGCCGCTCTGGCTACGTTTGTGCTGTGAACACCGGTGGGGTAAAACATGGCGTCTTTCCCGGTGGCCGCCTGGTTGCCAGGATGGGGCTTCCTGTCTCCCCGTACGCTGCCAGAGAGACAGAAGGGCAAGGTCAGCTGACAGATTGAGAGACGAGCGGTCGCCAACCCGAACCTCATTAGCAACTTTACCGAGAGACGCCGGAAACTCGTCCAACCCACGGAAACCGCTCAGTAATTGGGCCCAAAGGTGGCGTTGGGCAACAGGCCCATAAAGGGAGCGATGGGACGGGCGGGCCGAGTGTGAGTGTGAGTGTGTGTGTGTGTGTGTGTGTGAGTGTGTGTGTGTGCGTGCACTGGGACAGGCAGACATCCATTTGGCTGAAGGCGTTGGACCGAGCCTGCGGTGACTGTCCCCACGCTGCAGCGCCTCGCCCCGAGTTACAGCGAAGAGGGTCAGCGGCGTTCTCCTCAGAGACGAGGAGCTGCTAACGGGCTCCTACAGGCCTTAGATATGTGTGTGTGTGTGTGTGTGTGTGTGTGTGTGTGTGTGTGTGTGTGTGTGTGTGTGTGCGTGTGTGTGTGTCCAAACTGCAGCAGATAAAACAGAGCGAGCAGGTGCTGCTGTCCAACACCAGGAACCAGAAACCGGCCCAGTGGGACCAAAGTTTCAACCAGAACAAACTGATACAGGCTGAGTGTGTGTGTATGTGTGTGTGTGTGTGTGTGTGTGTGTGTGTGTGTGTGTGTGTGTGTGTGTGAGTGTGTGTGTAAACAGTGTAAATGTTGAGTGAGTTGTTGTGGACTGGACTCTCCTGGTTCTGACCGGGTTATTAAAGCTCCTGTCAGTCAGTGTGTGCTGAGTTTGGCGCCCCCCTGTGGACACAGGTTGAGGTGGTAAAGCTCAGTTAAAAACAAGTCGTCTGATCTGAAGGACGATTTCGTTGGTTATAAGAAACACAAACATTTCAAGAACATAAACTGAGACCACAATAAAAACATGAAACTGGGAAGAAGAAGAAGAAGAAGAAGAAGAAGAAGAAATGTAATAAAAGAGGAGGAAACAGGATAGTAAATATGAAAGAGGATATTAATAATGATAATAAAATCATTATAAAATAATAATGATGGTAATATTAATGATAAAATGGAATAATGAAAATAAGCAGAAAAAACACAATAAAATCAATAAAAGGCCTAAAAGGTAAAATAAGAAAAGATTATAAATAAAACAAAGACTAAAAAGACAGGAAGTTGAAATAAGACCGGAGAGAAAAGAGGTAAAAGACGTCCTCTCATAAAGTCTGTAAAAGTGAGTTTTTAAAGAAGCGTCTGTCTCTGCTGTTCTCCTTCTCTCCTCTGAAGGTCGTTCCAAAGTCGAGGAGCTCTGATGGACAAAGATCGATCAGCTTCAGTTTAGAGACTTTGGAACGACCAGGAGGCCTTCACCAGAGGATCTGAGAGTTTTACTCAGAAGGTCGTAAAAGCTCTGAAATGAAGCTCGGAGAGAGTCCTTTGAGAGCTTTAAAAGTGATCAATAAAATCTTCAAATCAATTCTCAAACTGACAGGAAGTCGGTGAAGGGAGGATAAAACTGGAGTGATGTGACGCCGTCGACTAAAACCAGTTAAAAGTTAAAAGCTGCTGCGTCCTGGACTGGTCTGAGGAGGGAGGATCTGTTTAATCTTTGAGATGGAGCGCAGGTGAAGGAAACAGGACTGGACCATCTTGTTGGCATGGGTGGAGAAGGTGGAGAAGGTGGAGAAGGTGAGGTCAGAATCAAAGGTTCCTCCCAGGTTTCTTGGTTTGATGATTCCTGAATGTGGGCGGAGACTGAATGAGTTTCCTCTGTTACAGAGAATTATCTCAGATTTTCGTTCCCGTCACTTCGACCGTCGCTGACAGCGGCTCGGTTTATCTGTGTGTCGTCTGTGTAGCAGTGAGAGGAGACTTGGTGCAGCATGTAGACGGAAAATAAAACTGGACCTAAAACTGAACCCTGCGGTACACCACAGGCGACAGTAGAGGAGGTGCGGTTGCCGATGGCGACAGCGAGGGTTCGCTCTAAAAGACTGAAACCAGCTGAGAGCAGCGCCCTGATATCTCCACGTTCTCCTCCTGTCTGTTCCTCTACTGCAGAAATGAAAGCTTCACTCTGAGCCTGAACCCCCCCGAGGCTCCTCCCCCCTCGCCCCCCACCCCCCTCAGCTGGTAGCATGAGGACCTGTTTGGGGACAGTACATCTGCTCCTTGTGCAGGATGGCATGAAATGGCATAAGTCCCTTCAATCTGCTCGTCCCTCTCGTCCCCGCTCGAGACAAAGAGGCGAACTCCCGACGCGCTGGGCTGGAAGGGACAGACGTGGACGCAGAGGGGGGAGGAGGAGGGGCGCGGCAGCGGCAGCCTCGCACCGCCACGGCCCCTGGCGAGGTGGCCGCGGCCCCATTTTACACCTGATTAGGAAACACATGCAGGGCCACTAGACATATGCTTCTTCCCCAGCCACACGGCGGTCCCCGGCGGACGCCAACACATGGAGCAAAAAGGGCGGAAAAGGCCAGACCGCCGTCTCTAAGGACTCCCAGGGCGGAGTGAGCGGGAATACCAGCGCGGGATTACAGGAGCGTACAGGAAGTCCACAGAGGACCAGGACAGAGGAATCAACGCTGACAGGAGGCTTTTACTTTGAAAAACTTCCTTTTAACTTCCTTCACAGGTTACCGTCTCCATGACAACAGGTCAGATTTCAGACTTCCTGTTTATGTTTCTGCTCTTCAATATTTCCTCTAAATATCCGTCATGATTTAGAAACATGTAAAAACACTTAAACGCTTTTAGAGTCTGAAGGCTAATGAAGTCATGTTGTCGTATGTTGAAGAGGACATGACCTTAAAACGGACGTTTCAACGAGACAATGACCCCAAACACACCAGCGAGTGAAACCACGGGTCCAGAGAAACAGAGATCATGTAAGATCCTCGGACCTTCATCCAGAGAAAACTGGTAAATTCTGTTTATGAGTCAAAACCAAGACCTGCAGAGGAACTGTGGAGGTTAGTGCGACTGTCCCGGCTGAAATACCTGTGGACAGGTGACAGGAGAGGGTGGAGTCCGTGTGACACAGGTGTGAACCCGTGATCAGAAACGGTGGATATGAGACTAAATATTGATGATTCTCAGGAAAGTTGACAGTTTTTCTTCGTTTCTACAGAAAATTTCTGAGTTTGAGAAGAAAGATGTCGACACCGATTTTCTCTGAAATATTCGATTTCTCGACTTTCTGTAAAATTTCATCAAATTTAACGACTTTTCAAATTTTCTTTCTCAGAAACAAAAAGTGTCCTAAACACATCTGTGTTCATTAAAATATGATTTAATTCAAGAATTCTGAGGTTGACTCACTTTTTTAAAGACACTGATACTGATATGAACATGACTGAGTGACCTGTGGATGAAGTTAGGTGCTGTTCTGAGCATTATCTGTGGCTATAGAGTGGCGTTTTGGTTGGGGGCGTGTCTCTCTGTATTTCTATCCTGCTGTCGTTACTAAAGTTGGTATAACTAGAGAAGGAAGCGGTCGACAACATTCATCTCTGGAGGGGGGGGGGTCTAACTCGGTGTTTGACAGAATATCCCTTTAAAACGGAGAATTCACACCTGGATCAAAAGCAGCTGTGAACATCAGGTGACCAACAGGTGAAGTTAGCGCTCTGACCTCTGACCTCACCTCTGACACTGAGACGTCCATGCAGAGGTCCGTCCACAGCCACCAGAAACACGGCGCCGATGTTGTCATTGTCAACGATCTGCAGCTGCTCCCACGTGATTGGTCGAGACTGACCCTCCAACAGGTCCAGACCTGACACAGAGACGACACAGAGAGTTTACCAGAGAGCAAGATCCACAGCAGGACCGTCAGGATCAGAGAGAACAAGATCCACAGCAGGACCGTCAGGATCAGAGAGAACAAGATCCACAGCAGGACCGTCAGGATCAGAGAGAGTCAGTTCCTGTGTTCGTACCCATGTTCCAGGAGACTCTGGGTGCGTTTGTTTCGGCCGCCCTGATGGAGACGTGGACCATGATGGGTGGGCTGGTCATAAAGGAGCCGTCTATCACCTGGAACTCCACCTTCAAATCAATAATGAGCAGATGATTGATCGTCAGTTTAGCTTCAAACGCCTAACCAGGATAATCAATAAGACAGGTGGACAGGTGTGTGAGTGAAGGGCGGGGCACTAAAGTCAAGCCCCGCCCACATTTGATCAGCTGATCTTAACTCCAGTCCTGATAGGCTGACAGCTCAGCTGGTTCAGCTTCTACTGTCCAATCATCGACTCCGAAGGATTTCTGCAGCCTACAGTGAATCAGGGTTCCCGTCATCTCTGGTCGTACCTCATAGTTCCTGCGCTGTGATTGGCTGCTGTTGGGTGGCTGGTAGGCCACCTTCATCTCGTTCAGGTCCGTCCAGGTGAAAGATGTGACGGGCTTGGTGTGGTCATCCAGATGGGTGATGTAGCCCTCTGCAGGTGGAGAGGTCACCTTGAAGACCAGCTTCTCCTGCGGCGTCTCGGGGTCTTTGGCGTCCAGGGCAGCGGTGGTGAGCGGGGTCAGGATGAACTGGTCCACCTCCAGAATAAAAGACGCCATGAAGGCGGCCTGTGGCGGCTGGTTCTGCATCGCCCCGTGGATCAGAACTGGTAACCAGATGGACTGAGCCTGAGGAGGGGGAGGAGAGAGTCGCTGAGTCAGGGATCGACACCAACTTTGTTCTCCTAAATTAAAAAAAGTAAGGAGCACAAAAAAACTTTAGGGATCAATGAAAACTGATCAATAATGTTTGTCTTATTGATCGACCTTAGTACTATTATTAGAAATCAATTTTAGGTCTTTTGGTCACATGACAGTGAAGCTATTGAAGGAAAACAGCCTTTTCTGAGAACATCAACCGGTAATTTATTGACGGTCCCTTATTCAACACCGATGTTGACAGTGAGGGTGTCGAGTAGATTTAACCGCGCTGCTGTTGTTATTCCTGGTTATGGAGAGTGAGAAGACACTGGTAGATCCTCAGAGAATGTCCGTCAGATATCCAACCTGAAACTAACTTCACCGCCGTATTTACAGGAAAATATATCCAACCTGAAACTAACTTCACCGCCGTATTTACAGGAAAATATATCCAACCTAAAACTAACTTCACCGCCGTATTTACAGGAAAATATATCCAACCTAAAACTAACTTCACCGCCGTATTTACAGGAAAATATATCCAACCTGAAACTAACTTCACCGCCGTATTTACAGGAAAATATATACAACCTAAAACTAACTTCACCGCCGTATTTACAGGAAAATACATCCAACCTGAAACTAACTTCACCGCCGTATTTACAGGAAAATATATCCAACCTGAAACTAACTTCACCGCCGTATTTACAGGAAAATATATCCAACCTAAAACTAACTTCACCGCAGTATTTACAGGAAAATATATCCAACCTAAAACTAACTTCACCGCCGTATTTACAGGAAAATATATCCAACCTGAAACTAACTTCACCGCCATATTTACAGGAAAATATATCCAACCTGAAACTAACTTCACCGCCGTATTTACAGGAAAATAGATCCAACCTGAAACTAACTTCACCGCCGTATTTACAGGAAAATAGATCCAACCTGAAACTAACTTCACCTCCGTATTTACAGGAAAATATATCCAACCTAAAACTAACTTCACCGCCGTATTTACAGGAAAATATATCCAACCTAAAACTAACTTCACCGCCGTATTTACAGGAAAATATATCCAACCTGAAACTAACTTCACCGCAGTATTTACAGGAAAATATATCCAACCTGAAACTAACTTCACCGCCGTATTTACAGGAAAATATATCCAACCTGAAACTAACTTCACCGCCGTATTTACAGGAAAAAAACATTTGTTGATTTTTTTATTCGCACATGTGACCCTGAATACATTTTAGAATTCACACACATCGATTTTTAGTCGCAGTGAAACGGTCGAACTGTGAGACGATCTCTGTTTCTACACGGCTCCAACCAAACGCTTCAGATCTGCTCAGAGCACGCAGGAAACATCAATATTTGACACGCCGAAATCAACACCTGCCAGCACAACCTCACTGTCACATGTGGTGTTACAGAGTAAGCAAGAGAGCGAGAGAGAGAGCGAGCGAGCGAGAGAGCGAGAGAGAGCGAGAGAGAGAGCTGCCCCGAACAATCAGACGTGTTAGAAATGACAGGTCTGAGCGGCGAAGACAAACTCTTCACGTGTCAAAAATGGCGAGCGTTTTTCCTGTTAACAAGGTGGGAAACCAAGATTTTTTTAACCTTCTAAAACTTCCTGTTCTTCATCCTCAGAGCCGCCAAAAGAGCGAGAGAGCGGGATGTCACCTTCTGACTGCCAACAAACCTCAGACGCTCGGATCGCCTGGAAACCTTCAACACATCGTCTGTGTGTGAAGCTGCAGATCATCGCCGACCCCTTCAGACGCTCTCCTTCACAATAAGAGTTCCTCCACAATAAAAGTTCCTCCACAATAAAAGCTCCTCCACAATAAAAGTTCCTTCACAATAAAAGCTCCTCCTCTAACAGACTCTCTCCTCCACCCCCCCACCCTCACACGTCTGTACCTCCATCAGCAGCCGGGTGGTCTTCTCTCTCAGCTCCACCCTGATGGGGATGTAGTCGATCTCAGGGGACGGAGGACTCAGGTGTTGGTACTTCAGACCGGAGCTCAGGAAGTCCTGACAGCTGGTTTTCAGGAACTGGACCTGATCCGTGTTCTGGAGACAGGGTTTGTTCCCGGGACAGAGCGCCGCCGCCGCCGCCGCCGCCGTCTCCCTGCCTGTGGGGGGTGGAGGGAGAGAGAGAGAGAGAACTTCATCCAGGTGAACACACTCCCTCTTGTCTGTGAAGTGTTTTGGCGTGTGTGGTCGGCGGCGGTCTGTACCCTTCCTCTGGGTGGCGTCCTTCTCCCTCACCAGCTGACCCAGAGCGGGGACGCCAGTGTCGGAGTTCATTAGCCTGACGGTGCAGACCACGTCACCTGTGGACCTGCGGATGTTCAGGACGGAGCTGTCGATGGCGTTCGATAGACCAAAAAACTGAGGGACGACCAGCGGGGCGCCGCCCAGCTCCACCACACCCTGACCCGAGTCCACCACCTGGACTGACAGGACCGCCGTCTCCACCCGAGTGTCTGAGGAGGTAAACCTGCACACAAATACAGTTTTAGAGAGTGGGCGGAGTCAGGACCGCCGTCTCCACCCGAGTGTCTGAAGTGTGTTTTTTCAGCTGCTGGGTCACATGACTGCGTCCTGGACTGTAACTGACCCTGTGGGGCTGTGACAGATCTACGTCACCTAGATCTGCTCTCACCTGGGAGGCTGTGACAGATCTACGTCACCTAGATCTGCTCTCACCTGTGAGGCTGTGATAGATCTACGTCACCTAGATCTGCTCTCACCTGGGAGGCTGTGACGGACTCACCTGTAGACTCGGAGCATCACGGCGTCCTGCTCCAGCAGAGGACTCCCGCTGTGGACGTATTTGACCTCGTCGTCCATGAAGCTGCAGTCGAACACCTGCAGACAGAGCAGATCATCTCTCAGCCAATCACAGAGGAGCTCTCTCTCTGTGGGCGCAGGTGTGTGTCCTCACCTGTGGGGTCAGTCTGCCCACTCTCTGTGTGACCGGCTCGTTCATCACCACCTCCACCTTACAGTCCTCGCCCTCGCCCACGCCGATCCTCAGCTCCTGCTCCGTCACAAACACCCATCCACCTCTGGAGACCTTCACACCCGAGTTCACCACCACCAGACTTCCCCAGCAGACGCACGCCAACGCCACCAGCAGCAACAACGACCACACGCCAGCTACCGCCATCTTGGATCAGCAGTGTTTAAACAGGAAGTGCAGGATGAAGCGTTTCTCATTCAAATGGCGCTGACCTTCATCGTCCTCCACAGACGTGTTTCTACGATCTACGGGGAGAAGACCACGTCAGAAAAATGAGGGCGGGGCCAGGAAACAAACAAACATTTAAATAAACAAACAAACGTTTGAAAAAAAACAACGGAAAAACCAGACTGTAAACAAACAAACAAACAAAATATCTGAACAAAGAAAAACAAACATGAAAATAAATGTAATTGTTCAATAAAACAAACAGAGAAATAAATGAATTATAAAGTCAGACTGAACAGAGTTGCTGGAAACCAAAGATGGAGACAAACACCTGAAGACTGTCCTCCTCTGTCCTCCTCTGTCCTCCTCTGTCCCTCTAACCTTTAAATCTGTAGATAGCTCCTCTCTCCCTCCACTGTCTCCTCCATCTTTAAACCTCTCTCTCTCTCTCTCTCTCTCTCCAAAAAAACTTCCCAGCATGCAGCTGACTTCTCCCCCACTGATCCACACTGTCAGGCAGGAACTGCTTTCACCCTCCATTTCACTTCAAACCAGAGACCTCTGCAGTAAACAAGGGGTTAATCAACGTGACCCCAACTTGAGGGGGGGTTCAGGATCAAAGTGGGGAAACAACAGGAGCCGAGAGAGGAGGAGGAGGAGGAGGAGGAGGAGGAGGAGGAGGAGGAGGAGGAGGAGGAGGAGGAGGAGGAGAATGTGTTTGTTAGACTGAGATGGACGTGAGGACTAAAGCTCTGAGGAACATCACTAACTTTAACTTTAACACCCCTAACTTTAACATCACTAACTATAACTTTAACATCACTAGCTATAACTTTAACATCACTAACTTTAACTTTAACACCACTAACTATAACTTTAACATCACTAACTTTAACTTTAACACCCCTAACTTTAACATCACTAACTTTTACTTTAACATCACTAACTTTAACTTTAACATCACTAACTTTAACATCACTAACTTTAACTTTAACATCACTAACTTTAACTTTAACACCCCTAACTTTAACATCACTAACTTTAACATCACTAACTTTAACTTTAACATCACTAACTTTAACATCACTAACTATAACTTTAACATCACTAACTATAACTTTAACATCACTAACTATAACTTTAACATCACTAACTTTTACTTTAACATCACTAACTATAACTTTAACATCACTAACTTTAACATCACTAACTTTAACTTTAACATCACTAACTTTAACTTTAACACCCCTAACTTTAACATCACTAACTTTAACATCACTAACTTTAACTTTAACATCACTAACTTTAACTTTAACATCACTAACTTTAACTTTAACACACCTAACTTTAACATCACTAACTTTAACTTTAACATCACTAACTATAACTTTAAAATCACTAACTTTAACTTTAACATCACTAACTTTAACTTTAACACCCCTAACTTTAACATCACTAACTATAACTTTAACCTCACTAAATTTAACATCACTAACTATAACTTTAACATCACTAACTATAACTTTAACATCACTAACTTTAACTTTAACACCCCTAACTTTAACTTTAACTTCACTAACTATAACTTTAACATCACTAACTTTAACTTTAACATCACTAACTTTAACTTTAACATCACTAACTATAACTTTAATATCACTAACTTTAACTTTAACATCACTAACTATAACTTTAACATCACTAACTATAACTTTAATATCACTAACTTTAACTTTAACATCACTAACTATAACTTTAACATCACTAACTTTAACTTTAACATCACTAACTATAACTTTAATATCACTAACTTTAACTTTAACATCACTAACTATAACTTTAACATCACTAACTATAACTTTAACATCACTAACTATAACTTTAACATCACTAACTATAACTTTAATATCACTAACTATAACTTTAACATCACTAACTATAACTTTAACATCACTAACTATAACTTTAATATCACTAACTTTAACTTTAACATCACTAACTATAACTTTAACATCACTAACTTTAACTTTAACATCACTAACTTTAACTTTAACATCACTAACTATAACTTTAACTTCACTAACTATAACTTTAACATCACTAACTTTAACTTTAACATCACTAACTTTAACTTTAACATCACTAACTATAACTTTAACATCACTAACTTTAACTTTAACATCACTAACTTTAACTTTAACATCACTAACTATAACTTTAATATCACTAACTTTAACTTTAACATCACTAACTTTAACTTTAACATCACTAACTTTAACTTTAACATCACTAACTTTAACTTTAACATCACTAACTATAACTTTAACATCACTAACTTTAACTTTAACATCACTAACTTTAACTTTAACATCACTAACTATAACTTTAATATCACTAACTTTAACTTTAACATCACTAACTTTAACTTTAACATCACTAACTATAACTTTAACATCACTAACTTTAACTTTAACCTAACTTATTCTTACTTGAACTTAATTTACGTCACAAACTTTGACTCTGTCTCAGTCGGTTACACTCACTGTAATCTTGCTGATTCTCTTTTTTACCTTAATTAAACTCGCTGTGGTCGTTGGTTCGAGCGGCTCTGACAGAGTTAAACCTTTTTTAAGATCTAAAGTCTGACAAACAGGAAACAGAGTTGTCCTTCTCCTGATTCCTCCTTCCTGTGGTTTCTCTCGGAGGATTTACTCTCCTGTCTCAGGCGCTCGGCTCCTGGAACCGTTCCTGCAGAAACACTCAAACGAGGCAGGACGTCGGTTAAATGATCCACCAGCTGCTGGTTTGTGTTTCTGGAAGTGACTCTGAGCTGCTGCTGCTGCTGCTGGTCTGAGGAGAACAGACTGAGCTCAGACCTGATAATTAGGTTCAGACTCGACCGCAGTCGGACCCACGCAGCTCTGTGATGATGGTTAATGCTGAGCGTCTGTAGCTGCTGTCTGCCCTCCATACAAACCTACAGACCAGATTTATGTCTTTACAGACAAAACTACAAACTACAGACACAACACTCTGACAGACTCGCACTACAACTCCTCCCAGTACCACCACCACAACGACCACAGAGAGCAAAACAAGCCGCCAAAGCTGCGGCGGCGGCGAATGCTCGCTGATCCGCGTTCACACAGCGCCACAGTGAACAGAGTTTCAGGTGTTTTCAGGAGGAGCAGGTGTGGATGAAGATCTTCCTCCAGACTTTAACAGGTAGATCCTTCATGAAGGTGTTCAACAGGATCAGCTGATGTCAACGTTAAACTGACAGATTTTGGTCCTTCGGCTCTGATCCCACTCTTCAGTCTGTTCGTTTATCTGAGAGGAACAGTCAGTGTTCGGGTTTATCCCATATTTCAGGAATATTTCAGGAATATTTCAGGAATATTTGGGGATGACGCCCCCAAAGCTGATGAAGTTGAAGCTAAAAACTGCAGTTCCTTGTGTGTCCACCAGGGGCGTTCTGCAGAAGCAGCAGAAACCATCAGACTGTAGTTTTCGGTCGAGTTGAAGCACTTGAGATCGGTCTTGGTCTCGAGACCATTTTTTGAGGGTCTTGGTGTCGTCTCAGTCTTGTCTCGGTCCTCTCTGGTCCTCTCTGGTCTTGGTCCTCTCTGGTCCTCTCTGGTCCTCTCTGGTCTTGGTCCTCTCTGGTCTCGGTCCTCTCTGGTCTTGGTCCTCTCTGGTCCTCTCTGGTCTCTGGTCTTGTCTCTGGTCTCGGTCCTCTCTGGTCTTGGTCCTCTCTGGTCTTGGTCCTCTCTGGTCCTCTCTGGTCTTGGTCTTCTCTGGTCTTGGTCCTCTCTGGTCTTGGTCCTCTCTGGTCCTCTCTGGTCCTCTCTGGTCTCGGTCTCTGGTCTCTGTCCTCTCTGGTCTTGGTCTTCTCTGGTCCTCTCTGGTCTCGGTCTCTGGTCTCTGTCCTCTCTGGTCTTGGTCCTCTCTGGTCCTCTCTGGTCCTCTCTGGTCTCGGTCTCTGGTCTCTGTCCTCTGGTCTTGGTCTTCTCTGGTCCTCTCTGGTCTCGGTCTCTGGTCTCTGTCCTCTCTGGTCTTGGTCTTCTCTGGTCCTCTCTGGTCTCGGTCTCTGGTCTCTGTCCTCTCTGGTCTTGGTCTTCTCTGTCCTCTCTGGTCTTGGTCTTCTCTGGTCTTGGTCCTCTCTGGTCCTCTCTGGTCTCGGTCCTCTCTGGTCTCTGGTCCTCTCTGGTCTCGGTCCTCTCTGGTCTCTGGTCTTGTCTCTGGTCTCTGTCCTCTCTGGTCTTGGTCTTCTCTGTCCTCTCTGGTCTTGGTCTTCTCTGGTCTTGGTCCTCTCTGGTCCTCTCTGGTCTCGGTCCTCTCTGGTCTCTGGTCCTCTCTGGTCTTGGTCCTCTCTGGTCCTCTCTGGTCTTGGTCCTCTCTGGTCCTCTCTGGTCTCTGTCCTCTCTGGTCTTGGTCCTCTCTGGTCCTCTCTGGTCTCTGTCCTCTCTGGTCTTGGTCCTCTCTGGTCCTCTCTGGTCTCGGTCCTCTCTGGTCTCGGTCCTCTCTGGTCCTCTCTGGTCTTGCTCCTCTCTGGTCCTCTCTGGTCTTGGTCCTCTCTGGTCCTCTCTGGTCTAGGTACTCTTTGGTCTCTGGTCTCGGTCTCTGGTCTTGTCTCTGGTCTGGGTTGGTGCGGTCTTGACTTCAACACCAGTTTTTGGAGCAGGAACACCTTCACAGATGTTTAACCGACAGTTCTGGTTGGAGAAGCTCAGCGTTTCCACGGTAACGGACAGGTGGGCCCGCTGTCGCTGTTAGCAGGGAGGCTAAAGGTCCGCCTCAGGTTATCAGAGGTAGGCGGAGTCATGGTGACGTCACTGAGACGATGTGGACTTCTCCTCCAGGATAAAGTTCTTGGTGAGTTCGTCTTCAGCGCCGACCTTTTCTCTTCCACTCTGACTTCATCTTTACGAACCTTAACTTGGTTTGGAAAAGTCGGTGTTTTGGCAGGTTTCGGTGTTTGTCCGATTATTTTAAGGTTGTAAAAAACTCTTCCGATGTTTTTCGGGGTTTTGATTTTTATTAAGTTTGTTTCTCTTTCTGACAAAGTTTATCGAACACGATTAAAACTGTGAACAAGATTTTAACATTTGAACTCGACGTCATCAGTTAAACGTTCGTATCTTTAGTCTTTGGTTGTTTTTTTATCTCATGATTTTGTTTGTTTTTCACATTTTAACTGTATTTTTACTTTTATATGATATTTAGTTTCGTGTTTTAGCCTCGGCCTCTCCTCAGCTCTCTGGTTCTCTCTGGTTCTCGTCACGTTTCTCAGTTTGGTCGTTTCTCTGAGTTCATTTTTCTTTTTTTTTTAAATGAGTTTTTTTTTATCAGTTTCTCGTGAATCAGGAGGTCGATCTTCCTTATCGACTGTTTCTGTCTGAATATTTCTCTGATCTGTTGTCAGTGCAGCAGGTACAAACGTCTCCATGCAGGTTTATGTTAACTTACAGTTTCGCTGTTCTGTGGTTCACTGACCCTCCCTCTGCTGTCCGATGATCGCGGTCTGCAGCAGGATCTGAAAACACAGCAGAGAAAGTTTCCGCTGAACTCCTGCAGCTCTCCTCCTCCTCCTCCTCCTCACATAAACTGACGACTCGCTCGCTCTCCAAGCATGTTTACGAGTGTGTGAGCGTGTCAGCTGAGAACCGAGCCAAAGAACAAAACTCTGTGTGTGTGAAGCAGACGTTGGCACTAACCTCCAGCTTTAGAGCTCCTCTGTTCGTCTTCTTCTTCACCTCGCGCTCCGAAGAATGCTGTCAAACACACACACACACACACACACACACTTCACACCCACCCCCTTATTCCACAGCTCACCGTCACCCTGAGACGACCGGCATCCAACAACAGAGAGAGAGGGAGGGGGAGAGAAAAACAACAGAGGGGGAGAGAGAGGAGAGAGTGAAGACGGGGGAGGGGAGGGTGAGGAGAGGGGAGAGAGGGGGGAGACGGTCAGTTTGGAGGATCAGGAGGTGAGAGACTTTTGTCCAAGTCTGTCCTGAGGTCAGCTGACAGGAAATGATGAGACGTTTTCAGGACCTTTAATTTCAGCCGACCCTCCTGACCTGGAGATCCAGCCTCTTCTTCTTCTTCCTCTTCTTCCTCCTCTTCTTCTTCTTCTTCCTCTCCCTCTTCTTCTTCTTCCTCTTCTTCCTCCTCCTCTTCTTCTTCCTCTTCTTCTTCTTCTTCTTCCTCCTCTTCTTCTTCTTCCTCTTCTTCTTCTTCTTCCTCTTCTTCCTCCTCCTCCTCCTCCTCTTCTTCTTCCTCTTCTTCTTCCTCCTCCTCTTCTTCTTCCTCTTCTTCTTCTTCCTCCTCTTCTTCTTCCTCTTCTTCTTCTTCCTCCTCTTCTTCTTCCTCTTCTTTTTCTTCCTCTTCTTCTTCTTCCTCCTCCTCCTCTTCTTCTTCCTCTTCTTCTTCTTCCTCTTCTTCCTCCTCCTCCTCTTCTTCTTCCTCTTCTTCTTCCTCCTCCTCTTCTTCTTCCTCTTCTTCTTCTTCCTCCTCTTCTTCTTCCTCTTCTTCTTCTTCTTCTTCCTCCTCTTCTTCTTCCTCTTCTTTTTCTTCCTCTTCTTCTTCTTCCTCCTCCTCCTCTTCTTCTTCTTCTTCCTCTTCTTTTTCTTCCTCTTCTTCTTCTTCCTCCTCCTCCTCTTCTTCTTCTTCTTCTTTTTCTTCCTCTTCTTCTTCTTCCTCCTCCTCTTCCTCTTCTTCTTCCTCTCGACCTGAAGAAGAACCAGAACTTTTATCTTCACACCAAGTGTCAATAAACTCCTTCACTTACTTTGTGTCTCGTCTGCAGGGCGTCCAATCACAGGTGTGATTGCAGAGAGGGGGCGGGGCTCCTGCAGCAGGTCAGGTGGTCTCTGTTTCCGTAGGTCAGTGGTTCTCAGCTGGTCTCACTCTAGGACCCACATTTTCCCATGATCCTTCAGTCACGACCCACTTTTATAAAACTCAACATAAGACATTTATCTTCTCTAAAAAACCTTTAAACTCTTAAATCTTTAATGTTTTTATGGAGTGAAGTTTATTTAGCAGCACATGACCTGACGACGACGACGACTGAAGTTACAAAAACACAAAATATCAAATCACACAAAATAGAGAAAAATAAGAACTTTACTGATTTGTTTCTCTGCATTAAGATGAGAGTCAGAAGAACCTGAGGAGGACCAAAGTCAATAAATATTAAATTAAACGAAATAAAGACCCAAAAAAACAAAACATGTATTTTATTTTTACTGGATTCAGGCCACATTAATAAGAAACCGAGGCGGACCAGGACAGAACACGGGCCTTTCAAAATAAAAGACAAACATCACATGAAGACTAAATATTTACTTTTCTGACCAGCTGTTAGCGACCCATCCAGAACATGTCCACGACCCACTTTTGGGTCGGGACCCACCTGTTGAGAATCACTGATATAGACCTATCAGAGGATGATCCCAGTGTGAGGATCTTTAATGATAATCAGACCTCCTCATGAGGTGTGTGTGTGTGTGTGTGTGTGTGTGTGTGTGTGTGTGTGTGTGTGTGTGTGTGTTCTGGGTGATACTGACCCGTTAGGAAACAGTTCTGGTTCTGGTTCTGGTTCTGTTTGTTCTGATCTCAGAGAGTTTCAGCTTTTCTAACAATATTTATGACATAAAAACACAACAGTAAAAAAATAAAGTGTTTATATTTTAGTCATGAAATAATCTAATAAAACAAATTATTAATCATTTGAAGCAAAAATATATAAATTTATAGACAATATGTAACCATAGAAAATACACTTAACTAACATTTGTATGAATTTCAGTTTATTTTAACAGAATATTAAAGTCCAGATAATACTTATCTAAACACAGAAAAATTATAATAATTAATAAATAAATAACTAAAGACTCCAAACAGGTTTTTATGGACAGAAAGACAAGAATCCAGGAACTGGGGGGTCTGGTCCTGGTCTCACCTGGTCCTGGTCTAACCTGGTCCTGGTCTCACCTGAGTCCCCTTCCTAACTTAAAAGCTCCTCCATGATCCCGTTAGCATTAGCATTAGCTGTTATTTTCAGACATAAATTCGTTCAAACTTCGTTTATAAAACTCTCAAAGTTCCTAAACTGACACCGAATGACCCGGACTTTACTCTGAACTTACAGCAGCAGTTTGAAGGGAATTAAATGACAAAAATAACGACTTTTAAAAACCTCAATCGGCAGAGTTTTGATCAATGTTAGCTTACCGCCGATCATGCTAGTACCAGCTGTGATCAGAGCGCGCACCGCGCGTGTATGTGACGCGCGCGCCTGTAACGGTGTCACCCAGCCGCGTCACCAGACAGATTTCACTGAGGCACGTGCCCCAGTAAAAATGTCACTAATAACAAAAAATCAACGCAGAGTTCAAAGTTCACGGAGCAAAAACTACTTAGTTCAGTGTTACTGTAGTCACCCCACATAAACAACATAAACAATGGGCACGCGGCTAATTAATATGGTAATTTATTCACGTGCAGCGACTTCGGCTGAGAATACTTCCGTGTCGAGGGAGAGAGAGAGAGAGAGAGAGAGAGAGAGGAGAGAGAGAGAGAGAGAGAGAGAGAGGTAACGTTGGCCGACAACAACTTGTTAAATAAATTATTTTGATTTTAATTCGAACTGTAACTCCTGGATGGATTTCAGGAGGTTATTCGGCAGCAGAGATAAAGCAGCGAGGACAGAGAGAGGTAAGTGAAGAACAAGCTAGCTCGGCAACATAAGTCTGTCTTAAGTTAATGCTAGGTTAGCTAACATTATTCCTTGTATCAAGACAACCACATTAATTTACGAGCTTCAGAGAGTTTCATCAGCATGAAGCATCATGTTGGTTCTGGTTCTGCATCAATGATGATTTTGAGGAAGCTCATGTTAGTTGACAGGTACAGGTACCCTACCTTTGGATGGTGCCGTGGTTCTCAGAGGGTCTATCCTCAGGAGGAAAAACAGTTTTCTCTATCATCAAGTCCTGAGCCAAATTATTAAACCATTCAAGTTTATTTCACAGAAACATAGTAGTCTGGGGTGCTTTATTTTATTTCTTTACTTTTGTAAATGTTCAATTTGCAGATGTTTACTTAAAAAAATATTTCAAAAAGATTCATTTCTCTTCCTTTTTACTTTTATCAGTGATGGTTTAGAAGTCTAGAGTAAAGTGCACAAGTAGGCCAAATACGGCAGTACATGTCAGGTGGTTAATCAAAGATCTAGACAACAACATAGTCTGATACGATTGAATAATTTAAAGACCTGTTTATGTTTTTGAAGATGAATAAGTGCTGAATATGTTTTAGTTTGTTTTCTTTTCACGCGCTCTCATGAATTTTTTTGTGCCCCAGTACAGTATTAGGTCTAGTGACGCCCCTGGTATGAAGGAGGAGAAGAGGTCCAAAAAAGGTACGGAAGAATTATAATAATAGAAATAATAATAATAATAGTAATGATAATAATAATAATAATAATAATTATTATTATTATTATTATTATTATTATTAATATAATAAGAAGAATAAAGAAACAGGAGAATAACAATAATAATAAACCTCGGTCACTTTAGAAACGAGAGTTAAACTGCAACTTTATCATCTGATACACAAACGTCAGTGTATCTGTGTGCTGATTGGTTATCACAGGACAAACATCAGTGTATCTGTGTGCTGATTGGTTATCACAGGACAAACGTCAGTATATCTGCGTGCTGATTGGTTATCACAGGACAAACATCAGTGTATCTGCGTGCTGATTGGTTATCACAGGACAAACATCAGTGTATCTGTGTGCTGATTGGTTATCACAGCACAAACATCAGTGTATCTGTGTGCTGATTGGTTATCACAGGACAAACATTAACTTGAGTTCAGATTTTTCTCACAGATTAAAGGTTTGAAGCGTCTAATCTCATCTTTAAGTTTCCATGTAATTCACTGAATTTATTTGTGTTTGTTGCGATCGCACCGTAACAGGGATGAGGATTATCTTTCACTGTTCTGATGACACACAGAGAGGCTGAATAAACACACATTTACCTTCCATAGAAATACAGTCAATGATCTGAGCTCTATAACCGCCTTCAGGATATAAATCATAGATGTCTGCACATTTTCTTCAGTTTAATAACAATAAAACAGAAGAGTTGGTCTGAGGTCCACCGGCCGCAGTATTTCACTGTTTGACCCCGTCCTGACCCCTCCCTCTAAAACCTCCTGTCAGATTCTTGGGATTGTAAAAGTCTTTAAGGAGGTCCCAGGAATCACAGGATCCTCATCCTTACCCCCTAACATTGGATCCTGGTTCAGAGTCCTCTCTGTGGTCTATCCCAGAACTTTAAGACCCGGTCAGTGAAGTTTTGGATCAGAGCAAACATGACGGACCGTGAACCGGTTCAACTGAGGAACAATCAGAAGAAGTTTGTTATTTACCTGTGAGCACAGGTAAGGGGTCAGGACTACAGCCACAGGGGGATTTAACCAGGAGCTCAAACTGTGATTTCAGTTTTTTAACTTTAAATTTAGTCTGTAAATCCTGATGTTGATCTGTAAACTCGGATTTTAGTTTAACTTTGATTTTAGTTTGTGAACTCTGTTTTTAATCTGGTTTTTGGGTTTAGACTCAAACCTGGTGGACTCCTTATTCTGAGCTTCACATTGAGTGAAGAAGCAGAGCCGACACACACGCACACACACGCACACACACGCACACGCACACACACACACACACACACACACACACACACACACACAGCCGTAGATTACTTTCACAGCTGTGTGTGTGTGTGCGTGTGTGTGTGTTACAGACCCAGCTGTGTTTTTTAAAACCCTCTGCAGATAAAAAGGACCACGAGTTTAGACTTTAATTTGTTTATTTTGTCAATGAACAGATTATTTAAGTTTGTGTGTTTATGTTGTTCTGTTGTTTGTTTGTGTTTTTTTGGGTGATAATATATAATAATTATAATTATAATAATTATTATTATCATTATCATTAATAGCTGTTAGTAGTTTTTCCTGTTAAATTTCGACCCTCTAAATGAAGCTCCAGCCTCAGTTCAGTCAGAAGACGATAATTGTCGTCACAGATGCTTCAGTGTCGCTCCAACGCCGACTCACTTTTCCTGACCTCGTCGCTCTGAGCTGTCATTGGTTCATCAGCCGTTCACCGGGTCCTTCCTTATCCAATAGCATGGTAGCACATGCTCACAGTCAGCCAATCCCAGCTCTGCTCTCATTTTAAAAATGACTCTTCTTTCTCGCCGCTGGTTTGCGCGCAGCTCCCTCCACCTCCTCATCTCGACCCGGTCTCAGCAGCATCAACAGCACCATCATTCATCCACCCAGTCCAGCAGTCAGCAGCTTCAGGACTCCATCAGAGGATTTTCCTGCAGATCAGACATCCTACGATCTCTGAGTCTGAACGCCAGACTTTGAGTCACTCTAACAGAAGTCTCATAAATGTTCAGATCTTTAAATATGACTGAAATACTTTGATCGACCTGAATGAGTTCCTCCTGTTTCTGGTGTGTTTGTGTGTCGGATTCTGAGTCTCCTCTCAGTCTGAGTCTTTAAACACATGTTGTTAGAAAACCACAGAGAGGAAAGTCAGCGGCTCAGCTCGCTCTGTGGACGGTCTGATATCTGGAGGAGGAAAATCTGCTCCACATGAAAATAAAACCGGATTAAGAAGTTCTGAACGAAGTGATTTCAGACAGAGGAGCATTATTCAACCATCAGAAACGTGAAGAAGCTCAGTGGAACCAAAAAAAAGGAAAATAAACAGAGAAATCTGTAAATGTGACCCCGTAAAACCTGCACCAATCATGAGCCTCGCCCAGAGTCCACCAGTCCACCAGTCCACCAGGACTTCAAGCATGATGGCGACCAGTTTGGTTCTGTAGACTGTTGCTCGTCCTTCTTCATGTCAGACGTCACACTACGGCAAGTCCCCTCGGTCAAACTACACTCTGTTTAATAAGTCAGTGTTTTTATTTTGTTTTAATTTAAAGGAAAAGTCCGTGTTTTTCTCCTGTTGTTATTGAGTTCGAAGCTAAAGGATTAATCCCCGCCCCCCGTGACCTCGACGGTGGAGGTCGTGCAGAGAAAGTTGTGCCGAAGTTGAGGCGTGTCTGTCACTCTGGATTTACGTTTATTCGCCGGCATCAGTGCCAGAAACGTCGCTGTGGCTCTGACTGACTTCCAGCTGACTGTCCGGCGCTCTCTGATCACTTGTGACTGCTACCCTTTGCACAGCGACTTTAGACTTTGCCACGGCGTTTGGCCCTGCGCCCACCTCCCCGGCCCCGGGCCCCTGTCAGCCTGGCGCTGTGAGTCCTCGGCGGCCTGAGATTAATTTCCCTTCCTTGCTGACCCGTGATGGAATCCTGGAACGGTTTGAGCCGAGGAGCCGAGGCGGGAAAGAAACAGAAAGAAGAAGAGCCGTCTTTTCCACGTCCGTCAGCGGGGGTGAACGTTTTGTCCTCGCGCTCGTGGAGCAGCCCGCTCTCTGGGTGTCGTATCTGTGGGGCGGAGCTGTGTTGGCGGTCGGTGCCTCTGAACAGATCCGTTGGCAGAGAAAGTGAGGCTGAGCGGCTCAGCTTTGAAGGTTTCAGGAGTTCAGTAATGATCAGGTGCCCCCCCCCCCCCCCCATCACCACCACCCCCCCCCGTCCGAGCGGAGCGCCTCTTCCTTAAAGTGTGAGATTAAAGCCACGCCACTCTGCGGCGTCCTTTGAAGATGCTCCACCGGCGCCGCATTGGCAGCAGAATCAGAGCAGCGGTTCACTGCCAGCCTCATGGCGCCCGTTCAGCTCGGTGGCACCGGCCCACGAAGAGCCAGAGCACACACACACACACACACACGCAGAGGCGGTCTGAAATATTCCTCCATCTTTAGTGACGCCAAAACCTCCACGCTGAAGGACGTTTTCATGGCGTGGACTCGGTCTGGGTGGCGTGAGGTTCCCCTGATGACCGTCCCCCTCCACAGACTCTGTTACTCAGATTAAACATCAGGAACCTTTAGGGTCGGGCAGGGTCGAGGTTCAGGGTCAGACTGACAGACAAAGACCTGATCCTGGTCTCCTCTCAGGCCCAGGACTCCCACTAAAGACTCAAACTGGGAACCAGAGTCTCTGAGAACCTGTCAGCTTCAATACGTCACAGAGCGACAACCACCCTCCTCCTAATCCTCCTTCAACCAGAGGGGTCACACACACACACACACACACACACACACACACACACACACTCACACACACACACACACACACACACACACACACACCTGCCCGGGGGTGTGCCGGCAGGATCAGGTGAGGCTTGATTGAAGGAGGGATCAGACGTCTGGATGAAGACGTTTTTTTTTGGGGGGGGGGGGGGGTCAGCTCCTGAGGACGACAGAGGCAGGGTTGGGGGTGGTTGGGGGGGTTTGGAAGAAGCATGACCTCCTCTGGCAGTAATGAGGGGGGAGGAGCTTATTCTCAGATTATGCAAATGAGGCATCGACTTGATCCAAAACAAGCCGGACTGGCCGCTAATGTTTGTCCAGTCGTGAAAGGGCGAGACTCCCTGGGAGAAATACCAGGAGGGGGGGCAAGAAGGGGGGGGGGGGGGGGGCGCGGCTCCCCCAGCGTTTTACATTATCATATTTCCACGTAATTAGTTGGTTTTTCCACATGAAATGAGGAAGCGGCTCGACGGTGCGTTCACCGCCGCGAGGACCGCCGGCCGCCGCTCCTCTTCTCTGATACTAAGTGACGACCTCTGACCTTTTCCTCTCACATCATCGACTCCCATACACACACACACACACACACACACACACACACGCTCACAGAGTCCACAGATCAGATTAAGATGTGCACGGCGGCCAATACTGAGAGCCAGCAAGCTAACAGGGGCCTCCAGGGGCCCTTTGAGTCGAGGACCAGAAAAACACACAGAGGTTTTGGTGGACCCCAACAGCCTAAGATATCAGCTGAGACCAAACGAGAGGCCAGAACTCTTTGACCCAGATCTCTGAGGGACCTGAGGACCTGAGGACCTGAGGACCTGAGGGACCCTGCTGACCCACCCTCTCATCTCCAACACCTGAAGGCGTCCCACCCTTAAAAACACGGATACTGAAGACAAACCTCTGTCTCCTCAGAGTCGCCAAACTCCACCGATGGAGGAGGAGAGCCTGTAGGGGGCGCTCTGAGAGGGGAGGGGCCACAGAAACTGCTGAATGTTGAAGCTGAGGTTTGTGATGACCTCTGACCTCTGCTGATTTTAAAGAAAAACAACAAACAGGTCTGAAGTTTCTGGTCTGCTGGGTTCACAAAGGTCTACAGAAGGTTGAGGATTCCTAAACCATCACTCTCTGTTGTCATGGTAAAGGTCCTGAGTTTCTCCTCGCTCACTCAGGTCGTTAACACGCTCAGTTTAAGGTCCACACACA